GATATAGTCTTTTTTGTATAAACAATTGCTTATGTCCTTTAGGAGGTTATCGGTATAAAAAAGCGGTGATTCAAATCACCACAAATTTCTTGATTGGAATTAAATTTTTATTTCTTTCCTGTTGTTTTATATTAATTTTATTTGAATTCCTTTCAGCTGTCTTTGAGCCGAAGGTGAAACGGCATTTTAATATGCACAATGAATCGGTTGTTAGAAAGTAAATAGTTGACCGTTCCGGTCGTGAGCGGTTCGATGATGTAACTTGAGAATTTTCGGATGACGGATCGCCATTCGATAAATATCGAATACGACGGTTAAACTCCTTATTATACGAAGGACACAAAAGATTGCTTTCTTTTCCTTGTACGATTTGGCATTGTACAGTCACGATTATCCGTGCACGATCTATTATTCAAGTATGACGGCTAATAAGTTTCGATCTTAAAATTACAGGACGTATCGTAATTGCATTGCCGGTTGCATTTGAAGAACAGGAGAAAAAGTTCATCCCTTGTTGAAGGTCGAACGGTTGCAGCAAACATTCTCCCCATATGATGATAAACTGAAAAATTAATGACGATTACGTTCTGCAATGTTAATGTGTCAATAAGGAATTTTGAAAGAGGGAAATGTCTGGGTTTACAATTTTGAGGACAGATAAGGAAGACATTGAATCTTTGGATTTCAAATTGTCAAAGGGTGGCTTTGTTCCCACCAACTTCCGTTTCTTTATGCGAATAAACCGGATATTATTCATTCATAACAATAAATCCTTCCTCAGTTCACTTCATTACAATACTCATTATGATGATAAGTACGTTGAAGATCACTTTTGTTACAGTACAATTCAATAGTTCTTATCAGGGCCAATCAACTTGGTTTAAACTCAGTTTACTACTGAACCGAGTTCAACATAAAAATTTCCGTTTTTCCATTCACCTTGAACCAAATTCAAATGATAAACCTGGTTCAATTTTGAACGACTATCGAGCGGGGGTTAAACCTTGTTCAGATTTAAGCTACATCCATTTCATAATAACATGTACGTTCTAAAAGATAGAATTTTTCATCATCAAAAGTTGAATTCGAATTGAATCAGTTGTTGATCTCTCTTTTCAATAAAAATTGATCCACTTTTGACATGCAAATTATTGAATGTTCTTTCTTATATATATAAATAAAACATGGATTCCGTTCTGTATCTTCCACACGTGCAGTTTTTCGACGAGTTTCCTTCCACCCCTCCCCCCACTGACATTTACATCAACCCGTTGCACTAGCTTGGTTTAAACTAAGTTTAGTACTGAACCAAGTTCAATTCCAGAATTGCAGTTTTTCATCTCATCATGAACCTAGTTCAAACGATGGACATAGTTCAATTTTGAACGGGGGTTAAACCTAGTTCAGAGTTAAGTGACGTCCATTTCATGATATAACATGTACGCTCTTAAAGATTGAATTTTTGATAATCAAAAATTGAAATCGAATTGAATCAGTTGTTGGTCTCTCTTTTCAATAAAATTGATCAACTTTTGATATGCAAATTATTGAATGTTCTTACACATAGAAATAAAACATGGATTCCGGTCTGTAATTTCGACACGTGCAGTTTTTCGACGAGTTTCTTCCCCCCGCCTCCTGACATTTACATCTTGCCCGTTGCACTAGCTTGGTTTAAACTAAGTTTAGTACTGAACCAAGTTCAACTCCAAAATTGCGGTTTTTCATCTCATCCTGAACCTAGCTCAGAGTTAAGCGACGTTCATTTCATAATATAACATATACGTTGTTAAAGATCGATTTTTTCATCAACAGAAGCTAAAACATCATCAAATCAGTTTTTAGTAATTATTTATATCACTACTTTGATGGTAATTTAATTGATATTGTAAATGGTTGTAAATATAGTGAGTCAAAGTTTCTTCTTCTTCGTCTTCTCTACCTCCTTTGTGGCAATTTTCTTTATTATCGATGAGCAATTCAGACAAAACTCGTTTCAAATGTGGTCATAATTGCTTTTCGCAACTTTCACCTTATCAAATCGATTTATTAGTCCGGGATAATTTAAGCCCGCGGTGGTTTTTCGCAAGGGACGCTAAGCTTTCTTTTAAACTGTAGCATGTAAAAGAAAGCTCAATGTTGTAACGAATCCTCGAAATAGTAAAGAGCACCCATCGAAACAAGGTCGACATGACTTCACATCGCAATTATTCCCGTTAACCACTATCAGTGCTTAATTAGCCGAAGCTGTCTAATTTTACAACTTTTTTCGACAGCCGTTGGTAAATCAGGTTTTTCCGTCTCGTAAAAAATGTAATCAATTCGTAATGTTATAAGATAGCAATGTTCACGCGTTCCAGTTCCTTGTGTGATAATTGCTAATAAAAAAAATAATAACAAAAAATAAATGATACAGCATTGTCTTCTTTTTCTGACTGAAATAAATAGATAAACATTCGTAATGCAGAAATACTAACTAACGAAGACAGTACTGGAAATAATATTCAGTTATCACATTAATATTTGATACAGTTGATGAGTTTATGTTAATTTAATACTGATAAGCAATTTGATTAATTTAATAGGTCATCACNAGAAAGAGAGAGAGAGAGCGTGAGTGGGAAAGAGATAGTAAGTGAGAGAGGTAATGAATGAGAAAGTGAGAAAAATGAGTGAGTGAGAGAGAGAGAGAGAGAGAGAGAGAGAGAGAGAGAGAGAGAGAGAGAGAGAACGAGAGATAGAGATAGATAGATAGATAGATAGATAGAGAGAGAGCGTGAGTGGGAAAGAGATAGTAAGTGAGAGAGGTAGTGAGCTAGTGTGAGGGAGAGAAAATGTGAGTGAGCGAGTTAGTGGGAAAGAGACTGACTGAGGGAGGTGGTGAGTGAATAAGAGAGAAAAAGTGAGTGAGTGAGAAAGAGAGTGAATTAGTGTGAAGGAGAGAAAATGTGAGTGAACGAGTGAGAGAGGTAGAGAGTGAGTGGGAGAGAGAAAGTGAGTGAGCGAATGAGAGAGAGAATATGAAAGAAAGAGCGGGAGAGATAGAGCGAGTAAAAGAGAGAGAGGGAGAGAGAGTAAGAGAGAATGAGTTAGAGAGGTAGTGAGAAAGGGAGAGAGTGTGAGAAAGAGAGTGAGTGAGGGAGGTAGTGAATGAGAAAGAGAGAAAAAGTGAGTGACAGAGAGAGCGTGAGTGAGAAAGAGATAGTAAGTCAGAGAGGGATTGTGTTAGTGTGAGGGAGAGAAAATGTGAGTGAGCGAGTGAGAGAGGTAGTGGGAAAGAGAGTGACTGAGGGAAGTGGTGAGTGAGTAAGAGAGAAAAAGTGAGTGAGTGAGTGAGAAAGAGAGAGTGAATTAGTGTGAGGAAGAGAAAATGTGAGTGAATGAGTGAGCGAATGAGAGAGAGTATGAGAGAAAGAGCGGGGGAGAGATAGAGTGCGAGAAAAAGAGAGAGGGATTGAGGGGGAGAAACAGAGAGAAATGAAGAAAGAAAGAGAGGGAGGGGGAGAGAGAAAGTGAGTGAGGTAGTGAGTTGATGTGAGGGAGAGAAAATGTGAGCGAGCGAGTAATAGAGAGAAAGTGAGGGAGTGAATGAGAGTGTGAGAAAGAGCTGGAGAGAGAGAGAAAGAGAAAGTGAAAAAGGTAGTGAGTGAGTGAGAGAGAGAAGTGATTGAGAAAGAGAGAATGAGAGGGAGCATAATTTATTAAGGTTCAGTGCATGCAATATATGGGAATATGGTAGCTGAAGGTTATGGGTCGAAAATTCTATGCTATTTATTTTGAAAAGAAGGGAACATAAAAGAGAGTGCTGCACAAAACCTAAAATGTTTGGCAGAATTTTATAACCCGAGATGCCACATTTTAATTTTCACTTACACCCATCCTGACACATACATCAATACTTTTCGCAGATGATACTGCTATCCCGTCTTCTAATTAAGATCCCGCCCTCTCATATCGCTACCTACAGGCTCACCTTACCAACCTAGAACCTTGGTAATGAAAAATGTTGCTTAACAACAAACGATTGATATACGATAATAAAGCCTATTTCTATGTACAGATTGAACTGTGGGGTTTAACCAAACATTCCAACTACCATTGTATACAGATTTACTGTATACCAAACTCAACGTGAAAAATAGTAAACATTCCCTTCTATGTTATGTATCCAATCATACATAATGACCTTAACATTCATTTTGTAAAATATGTCATAAAATCCCGGTACACAAAATTTCACAAATCCCTTTCATCATTGCAAGCATCCCGTACTATTCTCAAGAATCCACCCAAGAGATTAAACTGGTGGTGGCATCATGGCCTGTTGGGCAGTGAGACTTGCCTCGAAAGGTCGTCACTGGATGATTCTTCGCATTCTAGTGCTAGATTGTTAATTTTATTTTAATTACCACATTTTTACATTTGTACACATCAAAAATTTTACTCGTGGTTTATTCTAATAAATACTGTTGTAAAACAAAAGAATTAAAAAAAATTACAAAGCGAGAAATATTTCTTGAACTAACGACTATATGGAGAATTGGTTTTTTATTACTATTAGCAAATGGCTTGCTGTAACTTTAATATTTAGGCAAGTTCTGATTGCGTAATTAACATCATTTTTTTATGAATGTTCATTATAGGTGTCGAATGATGAACAATTTATCTGCAAATGGCCCAGTGGCATAAACTTGTTAATAAAGCCTAAATTATTTTAGTAATCCATGTTTAGTGGTGATTATTAATTCTATCAATCGTGTATTTTATGCTCATTTTCAATGAAGGTGACCTCATGTTGAGAAGACGTAGTGTTCATCGTGATATTTTTGGCTGTCATTGCTGCACTGGTCATTATTGTCCATCTAGGGACGGTTAAACTGCACATATTCAACTTAATTTTATAATTTTTGTAAATAGTTGCATGATTATTATATAGAAATTGCATTACTTGAGTTGTTTTCTTTTTAACAGACATTTCAGTTGTTTTTGCCTTTTTGTAGATTGAAACAAGATGTGGACTATCAGGGTATTGACATTGCTTGGCAGTACTCTCGTTGCACTTGGGAGCAGCGAGAAAATGAAAGAAGTCTTTAAGTGGAAACAAGTCGATTATGCATTTCCAAATGAAGCTGCTCGTAATATGTCTGTAACCATGCAAGAATTCAAGCAAAGACATAATCTGCCTTTGGGAATTGAAATATGGAACGATAAAGTGTTTGTCACTGTACCTAGGTGGAGATCTGGTGTCCCATCATCATTAAACTATGTAAAATTAAACAGTGGTAAGTAGTATTTTAATTTATTATTTAATGATAAAACAGAGCATACATTTAATCATTTTTCCAGGTGAATCTCCATTACTTGTTCCATATCCCGACTGGGAGACTAACAACATCACCAGCAAACCGCATGAAGAGAAAATTGTTAGCACGTTCCGTGTTCGGGCTGACGAATGTGATAGACTTTGGGTCATCGACTCTGGTCTGGCTGATTTGCTGGAAGCCCCTCAATTACTGACTCCCCCTAAATTAATGGTTTATGATTTAAAAACTGATAAACTCCTCAGGGTATATCCTCTTAAACCTACCGATGCCAAAGCAGAATCATTCTTTGCCAACATCGTTGTTGACGTTTCGAAAGATAAATGTGATGAAGCTAATGCATACCTTGCTGATTTAGGAAACTTTGGATTAGTAGTTTATGATTGGAAAACAAACGATTCTTGGAGGGTTCAACATCACTTTTTCTATTTTGATCCTCTCGCTGGCAATTATAACATTGGAGGAGTTAATTTCCAATGGAATGATGGACTTTTTGGAATTGCCCTTGGACCCAATGATAGTGATGGACATAGAACAATGTATTTCCATCCACTTTCAAGCACTAGGGAGTTTGCAGTTTCAACGAAAATTGTTAAAAATAAGAGTATCGCATCAGAAAGCTATTATGAATACAAGATTCTTGGATCGAGAGGACCTGACTCTCAAGCGACTACTTCGTTCCTCGATGAAAAATCAGGTGTCCTTTTCTACACTCAGGTCAACAAAGATGGAATCGGTTGCTGGAATTCGCTCACCCATAGAAATGATTATTCCGCTGATACAAACGGTCTTGTGGCAAGTGACAACCAAACAATGGTATTTCCAAATGACCTGAAAATCGACCGCAATAGAAATCTCTGGGTTATCACAGACAGATTGCCTGCATTTATATACAGACAATTGGACCCTGAAGAAGTTAATTTCAGAATACTGATGGCGCCAGTTGATGAATTGGTCAAAGGAACAGTTTGTGACAACGTTGAAAAAAAAGCCCAATAACTTGTTTTGAGACAGTTCAATTAAAAATCCAATGCAGTGTAAAAAATGCATAAAAAACGTACACTCATACTACTTTACTCAAGCAGAATTCTTGATCATGAGTTATTAAAATATTTTGTAATTCGCAACAACAGTGCAACAAAAATTTCTCATTTTTAAATAAACTTTTATATTAAATGAATTTTTTTTTACCAATTTCCTATTATAATTCAAAGTGTGTGGGGTTTAGTGTCCGTTAGTTAATGATTATTTTTTGATCGTGAGGGCACTCTCAACACGATACACAAGAATGACACATCTACATGGAAAACCAACACTTTGGCACGATAAAGAAAATGTTTTTCTAAAACCTATATCACACCAGACCGCATCTCACCATCTCCAAATAATTATTATTCAAAAAATAACTACGAATGTAAAAACAAAGTATACAAACTTTTATTTTATAATTCCAATAACAAAATATGTTAATATCACAAGTATCAAATCACATTATTTTAATCTGCTTATCACAATTTCAAACTGAGCATCACAACATTTTGTCGTGTTCAACAACTTCAGTGTACATATATAAAAATATTATATTTTTATCACATTATCATGAACTACAGATTACAACCTCCAAACTGCACTGCTGGTAAATCCATTATTTTCAGCGGCATATTTTAGAGGCAATTGATATTCTTCTATGAGTTTCAAGGATTTTCTGAAATTTTTTGCTAGGGCATACCTACCGGGATCGCCAATAAGGACATCTGCCCCTTTAGACTTGCACATTTCTAACCAAGAGAACAGCTTACTTGCGAAGAAGGGATCGTAAAACATATCCCCTACTAGGACGTAATCAAATTTGAATTGTATTTTTTTAGCAATTATGTTTTTTTGAATAATATGGACTCTGCAGCCATTCATGTGCGCATTCATGCAAATAGCCTCACAGGAAACTGAAACAAAAAATTAAAGTTTGTTGCTAGTAAATGACAATAATAATAACAAATGCAAAATAATGATTAAGGGGGGTTAATATACAGAAACATTCATATAAATTCACTTTTAATGCATTTTCAAAAATTACTATTACGACCTTCCCCTTTGGATATTTTAGAGTCCAGAAATGACTCGAATGCTACATTTATATAATAGTATTTTTGAAAGTTATTATTTTTAATTTTCAATTGTCGGACTAGATTTAAATCCTTTTTCTTTTATTTTAATAATGGTTGTGCAGATATGCTGATTGGTGGGTTTTACTAGGAAACCAGAAAAGTTTATGTGGATGAACTATGGTCTGATAGACCTTCTGCCTTGAATGGTCACAAATTGAGGGAAGTTACTGAACTTGATTTAACTAAAATATGTCAGGAGCTTAACAGAGTGCAAGCAAAGAAACCATTTGTTCTAGCTTATATCAACCTTTGGAAGATGTGGACACTGAGAAAATGGGTTCCTTAAGGGAACGATGGTAACAAGCTTCAGCGTCTTAACATTTGCCTTTCATTGCTTTCACGGCAAAAAGTTAAAACATTTTTCACTGGATTGCAGCATGCGACAAAAAAATCCTGTTCAGTAATACCAGGAGGTCATACCATCAGCAAATCCCATAGACACGAAAACAAAATATTCACCAACAAAAGGTGATGCTTTGTGTTGGATTGAAAACGGTAGGCATTATACACTGTGAATTAGTGCCATATGGCCAGACCATCAGTGCAGAAATCAAAGTTTGGCCCATAAGCAACCTGCTCTCATGAACAGAAAAGTTGAAATTTTTTACTGGCTCAATGTGAGACCTCATACAACCAGAAAGACAGAGGAAGTAACATTGATACTTGGTTGGGAATTCCTACCACAGTCTCCATACTCTCTAGACCTGGCCCCATCTGACTTCACCTTTTCTTAGTAATGGACATTCTTATATGCAATTGTTAGTTCAGATAATTGCCTACAGCTGGAAAATGAGCTGAATTTATTTCGTAAGTCCTGGGACCCAAACTGAAGATAAGAAGAATATATAAGGGTACATTCCACCATTTATTGATCTTGAAAGGTAAAACAAATATTAAAAAAATTGCGTTTAAATCTTTTAGAGTTAATTCATTAAACAATTTACTTCGAGTGATAAGGTAAAGCCCTCGTGAAAATAATACTTTCAGTCATAAATCTTCGTTTGAACATCAGTTTTACATGTTAATTGCAACAGGTCAATGTAGATAATTTACCATTGTCTACGTCATTCGCAAAACAGGCTTTAGCATTACATTTGGCTGCAGCAATTGCAGACGCACCACAACCGCTTCCAAGGTCGAGAACATAACGGCCTTGAAAATCTTCAGCATGATCCAGAATGTATCTACAATCAACAAACTTAGCATTAGGTTTTTCGTAATTAAAAAGCAGTTGAATTGACATTACTAGAATTTTTTAGATCAACTATATCCTTCTTGATCATGTCTTTTTGAAAACAAAATTATATTAATTAATAGTACTTATTAATTTAAAAAATTAACTATGGCCTACGGATAAAAAAGCCATCTTATTGCTTCCTTATCTATAGTTTATAGAAATAAAAATACTTTAATCATGTGTGAGTTTAATCCTAATATTTATTCATGTTCTAAACAGCGTGAATTGATAGAAAGTCTAAAGAGCATAAAGACAATGTAAAATATTGCATAAACAGTTATGTTTGAATAAACCGGCATGGTGCATTTTCTGAACTTTATAAGAGAAATAATGTAGCAATAAGAATGTAGCTCAGGACAAATACGTGTTAAAAAATTCATCAAAGGACCATCGCTAATGGCATAATTACTAAATGTAGTTAGCACTAGAATAATAGGACTGCTAATCAGACAGTGCAGACTCCAAAAGCATATAGACTCGGAGAGGCAGAAACAAGCCTGTGCGGAACATGTCCTCTGTTGGTATCCTTAAGCTTAATGAGGAGCTTTAGATAACAATGGAGATGCACAATAGACCAATACTGGTCATGGTGTACAGTTCTTAAAAAGTCTGGCTCCTACTCTAACCTAATATAATTAGAGAAAGAAAGTTGCTTAAAACATAAGATCATTGATATTTTTCAAAAATTATTTCTGAACTATATTTTGATCTGACGACCACCTAGCACAGTTAAAGTTTAGTGGCTACTGACAGAGCAGAGGGAAAGTATACTAATAACTGCTTTGCCCTTGTTCACTTTATCATTTATGAGGACCGCTGTGGCTGAGTGGTTAGGGTGTCTGACTTGTATTTTTGCCATGCTCGCAATCTTGAGTTCGAATCTCGGCGCAGTCTATGAACTTTTAATTGCAAAGAATATGGATAAAGTATTGTAAAGTGGTTTGACCCCTCATCTACAACATCCAACTACCTGTTTTCTTTTTTTTCCAGCAGGTAGTTGGATGTGCCTGCATGTATGTGGGGGACTTCTTGATACAGCAACAGTCTGTGCTTGCTGAACACTATTGGCTCCATTTTATTATGTTTAATTTAAATAACTATTTATTATTTTAACTTTTGAATAGTGGCAGAAACTATTAGTTTGTATGCATGTACTGTGCTGTTTTATCTGTTTGATATTTTTTCAAGAAAAAAAAAAAAAAAGAGTAGAGAGCGATATCGCAGTAGAAAGAGCCATTTTTACATTATTTGGGTGAGGTATTGTGTTAAAATATACCTAGAAGAGGATTGGTTTTAGGATAGAGCCTTGAGGAACACCAGCAGAAATGTTATTTTCATTCCGAAAAATTTTGTATAATAATTTGAATATATGCAAATAAAGTGTTTAAACTAATAAAGCGACAAATATAATTTAAATTTTATTTTAACGTATAATTGGGTATAAATGTCAGGTAGTGTCCACATTGTCTAAAAACAATGTCTTAATAAGTAATATTAAATTACAAAACTAAGGATATTAAAAAAAAAACAAAAAAAAAACGAATATATGGAGGACACAGATGATACAAGGAATCAGCCTGCAAGGACCCAGCCATTGCAACAAGTCAAATAGAGTCGACTGTCGAGGATCCAGGAAGTTGCTGGAAGAAGATCCTAGAAGACACTGAAGGATGTGAAAGCTGGTGTTGGTGAGCATGATTCGGGTGTCCTTTTGTAAGTAAAAATAAACTCAACCCCAGGATTGTGACTGGCTTGGCTACTTTGGTTTACTGTATGTTCGAACTTTACCTTCCCCCCAACGCAAAAAATAGTTAAGCGTGTATGCTGAATGTTCTCTTAATGCTTAGTGGCACATAAGAGTGTCAGCGTCCGCTTACAAAGATTTATATTTAAAAGTAAAATAAGAAAAATTCCAAATGGCTAAATATCTAAGAAGCTCACAATGATTTTATCAATACTAGAAGAATGCTTTGTATTGCAGAGGTTAGTACAGCAGTTTTTATTGATTTTTCTGATAATCCGATATGGGCAATTCTAGAAATTTAAAAAAAAATTAACATTCCATTTTGTAAATGAATAGTCTTTTTTTGGTAGCAACACTTGACAAAATTATTTAACAAGAAATTAAAACTTTTGAACATGATGGATTTTTGCAAAGGTTTAAAATTAAACTGTTGGCGGTTCATGAAATGCGAATAATTTTTTTTAAAAATAATCTTGACGAATATCTTGTGTAGAAAGATAAGGTTTTTGTGTTTTGACGAGTTGCAACTAGCATAAACCACTTGAAGAAAAGAAAACAAGGAAGATAAATTTTGCAAGAATCCAATTTAACTACATCTATATAATGTCAATATCTAGAGGGGAAAAATTGGAGCAGACATTGCAATATAAGACGCCAGAAACAATTAAAAGCAGATAACATTTTTAAAACAGGATGACGATAAAATTGTTATGAGTAGGATTTAATTACAACCACCTTTCACCAGAACGTACTAAATTTATGAGAGCAACATACAACAGAACAGAATCAGTAAAAATTACCAGGACGATCACTGACAAACAAACCCTTGATACTAACAAAAACAAGTATATATTGTTTAGTAAATTGCATTCTAAACTGGAACAAAAGTACCCTCATACACGATCTTCTCATATAAGTGCACAAATATACTATCAGACAGCTGGACAGTATTACATTCACATACCTTAAGCTTTGTAGCTAGTCTTGGATTTGCTAATTTCTTGTTTAAGAAATGTGACCCTGATACCTGAACAGATCCAACGAAATGAACTAGCTGACAACTCTCAAAAGAAGGTTATTAGGCCAAAACCACAAAGGATGCTGAAAGTCTTTCAAGGTCTTCAATTGACCATTTTAATTATTTGAATTAATTAACTATTTTACAGCATTGTACATCAAAGGATTTGGGTTCTTGGAACATAAATGCTAACTGCATCACAGTGATAGCTTTGATTTTAGGTTATGATCATTAACGCATGAATAAGGACAGAGGAAGAAATATTCAAACGACTAACAAGCATGAAAAATTCCGACCTATCGGTTAATCAAATAGACAATGGATCTACTAGTAGTAATTTTGGTTGTAGAAGAAGGCTATGCTGTGTAATTTTGCTGAACACAAAGTATAATATAAAAGTAGAAGAAGAAAATAAATTTTATTCTGGGGCTTTGGGCCCCCTTGAGTAATAAAAAAGTAAAAATTTATATTTTTACAAAATAAATATAAATAAAGATTTAAATGTAAAATTGTAAAAACAAATTAAACTTACTAAATTAAATAAGAGGGGGAAAATCAACAGAAATTAAATGTACAAAAAAAAAAAATTAACCATCACCGGTGTTAAAGGCATAGGACAGGAAATTAATCGATATGATGGGACTTAAAGGGTTGAGAAATGGTGAATATAGTGAGGGAGGGAATTCCACAGTTTGTAGCAACGGTTAAGAAAGTGGTGGGTTTGTATGAAGGGGGTCAGGAGCAGCCATTACATTTTTTGGACCATAATCGCAAATTAATAATAAGCGCGGAACTGAACAAAAGGATGGAGAAAGAAATGTCTACAGATTGGATGAATTCACCGGGTGTAAAACGACCAAAGAAGTTTCTCAACAGCCCAACAAAGAAAACAAAAATATACCTCTCTCAGAAGAATTAAAAAAATAATAGGCTTTTGCATATTTAAGGGGGAAAAACTGAGACGTCCTGAAATAGCACAGACATCAGAACATTCCTTTTTAACTGCGAAATATTAGCCTATAGACAAGCTTTAACTAAAACTACGGTGCACTTTCCAGAATAAAGAAGGGTCAATTACATAATAGATCTTTTAGGTCGTAGCAAAAGAAAGGGAGACAGGTATCGTGACCCTGAAGGGAGAACAAAATGAAATAGTGAAGTATCTATTTTGGTAGTTTCTAACCGGGTCTGATCAATTTCGGGTCCAGTCCTTCCATACAAGATACTAAATAACTTTTTGCTCCCACCAGTACAACCAGTATGCGAAGGGACTGAAGGCAAAGAACTGGCTGGCGAACTAGCAAAAACAGGAGCAGCTCTCACGCCCTTTGGGCCGTAACCGCAAACTGACATACGACAATGCATGCTGCTAGAAGAACTGAACAAAAGGATGGAGAAAGATATGACCACAGATTAGATGAATTCACCAAGTGTAAAGTGACCAAAGAAGTTTCTCAATAGCCCAACCTGGAAGAAAAGTAGCCCTTTATATTGGCCATGCTCCATAAAAAAAAGAAGAAAAAACAGACAGAAACATGAATCTATCACGAACAGGTATAAACATCAGGGCACATCCTTTTTATCTGCAAAGCATTTGGCCATTTGGCAAAACTAAATCCTAAATAAATAGCAAAGAGGAACCTGGGAGAAAGTGTTCAACTACAACTACTAGTTACTTCCTGGGGTATAGAAATAAAGGAGGGTCAATTCCACAATAGATCTTTTAGGTTGTAGTGGAAGAATGGGAGACTTTGGTATCCAGTGACCCTGAAGAAGGGAGAAAGCAATGGAACACAATTTAGTATTTAGTTTGATCATTCACGATCATTCTAGTCTGATTATCATCACTGTTTTTGTCAGTCAGACGTGTTTGGCATTTCACCATATACAACGGTGGATTTGTCCTTATTTCCTTTTGGGAGTCGCTTCTTTTTCGACTGCACTTGGCACATGGCTTTATCAGCTGTTTGTTTTTAGCAAGGTGGGAGGAGACTAATTATGAGAGAATGGTGCTCTTCTCAAGTTCATATATAGAAAAAAGCCACTCAGGAGGAGATTCTTCCCCATTGCCCCTTCTGACGGAAGGGTCAGCATTAAGCGCCTGACCAGGGCCGCACTCCGAGAAGCTCAAAGGGCTGAAACAAGTTCTATCCGAACTCTCGATGTACTCCCAAAATGGAATTGGCCATTCCATCACCACCTTGGTTTAAGTGAAATGCAAACCACCCTTAGGGGAGACCAATTGTTCGGTAAATTGTTCTGTTAAGTACAACAACCTGAATGACAGCATCAAACCACACCCACTAGTTGTCACTATCAAACCACTATGAATCCGAACCCAATAGCAAATTATGGGTTTGGAATTTGCTTGTACCTGTAGTACAGTAATACTCTGTACCCCATCTTTTCAGACAGGATCTGGTTCACTGACCCATCTGTGAGACTGATCACACAAGAGCCTTTCGCCCAATGAAAAAACCTTGTGCTTTGAGGGTTTGCCACGCTTTCTGGGCTGAACCATTATTTTGCACCAGGACACCCCTTTGTAACCAAGGGTTGGGACTGGGTTTCAGGAGTAATGAAGGATGCTAAAGACTGAGAAAGGGTTCTACCTTTTCGTCACCGGTCTCCCTAAGGAAACAGGGTCCCTCCAGGTAGTTGAAAGTGCACCCATGAATATAAAGATCACCTTTTCAGGTTGCGCCCCACACCACGGGTAATTCCTGCCTACCTTTAATTCATCATCGACATATATTCAGGGAAGAGGCTATTGACCATTTCTGGCTTCAAGCCTCTCCCTTTTTTGGAGATAGATGGTTCTATATCCTTCTGGGTCCACTCCCCAGCCGAAGGTCCACCCGCTCCGGACTGTATTTGCTGCTTCTTCATAGGATAAACAGGTGCGTTGCCTCTTGCTCGACCCGCCCTGGGGGACAACAGTGCATCCAGACAGGTCGCTTAAGAACAGGTGAGGTTATGTGCTACTTTGCCTCATCCACCAATCGTGTACCTACTACGCCATTTGTGGGAAGATTTTTGTCGCTGAAAAACGGAGAAATGACAAACAGTGATGGCAGGATAGACCTATGTTTGAACAAAAGGTTTGTCACCCTGCGGGCGATGGAATTTCATAGTTTTGAACAACAATTTTGAAAAATACAGAAATACAGCTGACAGATTTCTGTTCCAACTAAGTACCTTGGCACTTCATCATGTGAAAGTAGAAACGAAGTAGCTTATGGACTTTCTGTTTTTATTTCATTTCTACTCGATCCCGGAGGGCAAAAATTGAAAAAACTTATGAGTCTGGTTCAATATTAAGATTTTGGCAGTTATATTTACCGTGTCAAAGCTTGTCCACCGGCCCAATAAAAGGCCCAGAAAGGATTTTTGAATTCACAAGTTTCCGGTTTATCGGTCCACAAAGGCGATCTGGGAGTTATCAGGCGGAGTTTCAGTTCGGGAGTCATGTGGTCGTCCGTGACTTCCGTGTGTTTAGCTATACCATTTCGGATATTTACTCTTTTCAGACACAGAGACCCATATTTGTATAATTTCATTTTTTTCTCTTTAATTTTTTTTCCAAATTTAGGATGAAATTGTTTTAAACGAAGAAGGGAGCTATTTGTACATTTACATGGGAGACTTTATCTGAAAAAAAGCAACCCTGAAACTGTATACTGAATAATGAATTATCTGAAGTGCCAAGTGATTAGAGAAGGCGGTTAAAAACAAAAAAGGCGATCAAAAGAACTGGTTCTTTATTGAACGATGAATTGTCGGTTCAATAAAATTCTTGACTTTCAAACAACTCATAAAACATTTTAAAAAAAATATTTTTAAAAAAATAAAATGAAATAAAAACGCTCATAGTTCAGAGTAGAAATTCATTCGAGAACACGTTGCCCTTCATTGTATTTAATATAGATTCCCTTGATTCAGTTCTTTAACTGAATCGGTCGTTTATCGTTCATCCAAGAACCGGTTCTTTTAGTTTTCAGTAATTCAGTCTTGTGTGACGAATCGTTCTGTCTGATTACTGGGAACAATAAGGTTTTGTCCTTTTTCAGATAAACGATAAGTGTTTTTCCGCGATAAAAAAACAAACAAAAACCGATTTTCTTTTTCTAGCTTTCTAAATTTCTATAGAAACTGACGTTTTTAGATTAGATCCGATCCTGGTACAATTTCGATTTGATAGGACTTATCAGTGTCAATTTCGCGATTAATTTATCCGGTCGAAAGTCTAATTAGTCACGGGTCGAAATTCGGCCGTCAGCGTCGGCGCCCTCGCAGATTCCAATTTACATTGAAAAATTACTTTTAAAGTCTGTTGAGGTTCTTTTTGTCGTTTTATGTAATTCAGCGAGTTGGAAGAGAGAAGGTTCCAGGATGTCATACGCGATAAACGGAAACGTGAAAAAGGCTTCACCCTACTGCGAAGACGATGTCTCCGATGAGGCATTTCTCAGAAATAGACGAACGGAGAACACCGCCAACAGCATCGAAGAAAGGCAGAGAGAACTGCTTCTCAAACGAAAGGAAATCGAACAAAGGACTATTAAATCGACTGAGAAGTCCCTGAGCTATTTGAGAAGTTCGGAGGAGGTCGGAGTAGCGACTGCCGAGGTAATTTTTTTAAAAAGTTCACACTTGAAAAAAGTGCGTCAGGATGGTCACATTTCATATGTTTGGTCAGCCTACCCTTGCTGGGCTGGTCTGTGCAAAAACATCAGACTTGATCGACCAACAGCACCGACAAACATATCTGATAGATCATCACAGCGAGGATCCGGCAGACCAAGTTGATCAGTAACGATCGATTAACACTTTCATCACTCTGTAGACCATTGTCCAACGGACCAATATTGGTTGCAGTTCGTAAAGGAAAATGAACAAATAGTTGTAGTTCAAACATGAAAAAAGTTGGTCAAGGTCATTTCATAATCATTGTAACATTTCATTCATTTGGCTTGTTGGATGAAATAATATCCCTCCTGGTATAAGTTAAGGGAAAAAAGATCTTATTTGATCGTTACTGATCATCTTGGACTGCCTATCCTCATGGGGTTGGTCTGTGTTGCACAAAAACTTCAGACTTAATCCTCAGACAAACACAGACAAAAAAAAAAAAAGCTGATGTCTGATAGAAAAGCCCAGCAGGATAGGCAGACCAAGATGATCAGTAACAATCAATTTATCATCACCCCACAGACCAATGTTCAATTGGCAATATTGGTCGCAGTGCAACAACTAAAATATTTTACACAAAATAATAAAATATTTAGTGTAACGTAGTTGGTAATATTTAGTGTAACGTAGTTGGTAATATAAAGTGTAGATGGCCAAACGGTTTCCAGGTGTTTAACAAAAACCATGGAACTTTCAATGACTTGATATTTTTCAAGTAATAAAAATATTCAAATTTCCCATTGTGACGAGTGTCATTTTCATATTGGCTTTGTTCCTGGCCAGTCTGCCTTTCACACAAAAGATCAAATTTTACTGGCGTTGTAGTTCAAACTTGGAAACCCATTTGACATACCGCGCTATTTGAAATCTATCGTATCACCGATTCTGAACATATAGCACACTGACAAATCCCGATTCTTCAAGGAATACAATTTTCCCATTGTTCTGAGTGTGTCATTTTGATATTTATTCGCCTTCCGGCCATGCTGTTAGCTGAGTCTAATTGACTTCCCTAACAAATGCTTTCCTCAATTTTGAATCATTCTGGACAAAAACAATTGAATAATAAATGAGAATTATACAATAACAGACATGATGTCATACGTGCATGTTCTAGTTTAATATCAAATCATCCTCCTCTTGCTTTTGACGTCTTCTATAAAGTTATTCATTATTAATCATCATCACTTCTCATAGCGCTGATAAATCATGTTAATATTAATTAATTGAAAGCAGAATACTCATAGAAAATAATTCAAATTTTATCCGATAAAATATAGTTAAAATATAGTTTACTTTTCTGACATAGGGTGGCTGTTTTCAGTTCAGTTTCAATTTTGAAAATATATGCTCACATTGTAATTATTAATAATATTAATTTCAATAATATTTTCAAAGTGGTTTGAAGGGGATATATTTCTGGAGAGCTCAATGTATATCAAGTCTGATGTACAGACAATACTGTATGTCATAAATCAGAAATGTACAAAATTGAAACGAAAACCAAGGTCTAAAAACTAAAAAAAACAACTTGCAAATATTAATTATATGCTCTATTTTATAGAAGTTGGAAACAAATTTTATTTATTTATTTTTTCTAGCATGGCTAGATTTATAAAGTTTGCGATTTCAGTCGACATAAGTAATAGGGTGATAAGTCTCTTCAATCATTTCAAGGTTTTTCAATCAAGATAAAATAAATCAACTTGGTGTTTGAAGAGCCTTAAATAAAAATGAATTATTGCAAACTTTATTATATTTTATGTTATTTTTATTTATTTATTTTTTTGTTTTAGTCATGTTGACATAATTACCTGAAGTAAAATTCGTAATAATTTAACATACATTAGTTCAGAAATTGAGGTGTAGATTTAGAGAGTAACGAAGGGGTGGCTAAGTCCAAGACATCCCAGCCTCCAGACTTAACCACTGAGATCTTTTTTGACAATTTTCCTTGTAAATCCATGAAAAATAAACATTATTACTGGTGGAGAAACGTAAAGATCATTTTATTAGTATCTTTCCACTAGGGAGAACTTTTCACTTGGAAAACACTAAATAATTTTTTCCTAATTTGCTTTTGGTTGGGCCATTTGGTTTCTAATTTTTTGGAATAATTTTGTATGAGCATTGTTTGTAAATTAAAATACGAAGCAACACTCTCTTTAATGCTCGGTTATTCCATATTAAATGAATTGTTAGCTTGAGTGTTTTGAGTATGAGTGGGTGGGTTTATTGCGGAATCTAGAGTACCTTACAACCTAACCAAAATAAGTTTGTTATATGTTTATAGAGTGATTGAGGGCGAAGAACTAGTGTAATTTCAAATATCACAATGACTCGCCAATTCTTTTTAACTGTTTACACTGTGTGAAATGGTATGCTTTTGGATGATTGTATTTATTAGTGTGAGTGAGTGTAGGTTAGTTGTTATATGTCCCCCTCCTAAGGGAGCACCTAATCTCTCCTACTATCAACAATGTTAGGTTGAAAAAAATGTGAGGCTTCGGCTAATTTAAAAAAATAAATAAATAAAACTTAACATATTGTCAAAATACAGTGCCTCTCGCATGTTTGTTAGGATGTTTCATATCTGGAGTAGTAACTGAAATGTGCCTATTTTTTTGTTATTAACGTCAAGTGTATCCATTAAGTGTGCGCTATTTGATATTCTTTATCAACAAAATTTAACTTCTATCATAGTTGTTTCATGAGAATTAATCAAAATTAGTAAGTAAGTAGTAAGGATCAGAAAAAGACATTCTCCTAAAAGCCTACTTCTGATTTTACCGTTTTACAAGTTAATATTAACAAATGTTTTATTTTCCATCTTAATTTTTAGGAACTCCTTCGCCAAAGGGAACAACTGGAAAGGACTGAAAAACGCTTAGATGATATAAACTCGACATTACGATTCAGTCAGCGCCATATTCAAGGGATTAAGGTACAATTTTTATTTTTATTTTTTATTTTTTTTAATGACAGTTTTGTATAATATTTTGAATTTATTCCAGAGTGTTTTTGGTGGTTTGAAGAATTTTATTAGTGGTGGGAAAAATTTACAGAATAGAGATGTTAAGAATCCTAGTGAAAGTATGTCCAGTACGTCTTCTTCTTCCCACGGCCTGCATAACAACCCACTCGTACAAAATCCAAAGGATGATTCTATGCATCCAGGTAAAATATATACAAATGGTATAAACTTTTTATGATTATTTATCCTATTTTTATCTTCATTTTGTTTTCTGTTTGTCAAGCGATAAATATTTCATCGAACTATCTATTAAAAATGTATTTTTGGGGTATTTTGAAAGAATTAACCTCTATGAACTTGTTCCAAAGGGGTTTGCCCATCATGTAAGCTTTATTCACAAGGATTGTGAAATAAATACGATTTTTGAGATGCAAAGACGCTGGCTTTGGATGGGAAAAGTTTTGGCCCAGCAAGACAATGCCTGGAGAAAGGAAAAAATCTGAAATGGTTTGTATCAAGCCTCTCAGTCCTTCAACAGACTTGTGCAGCCCTGATCTTGTTCCTTCAGACTACCATTCTAATCTTTGTTGATGATGATATGATAATGAATATCCCTATAAAATTTGAGCAATTGTACTAGGGAAGTGCACCTCTATCTTTCAAGCTTGCTACCTATACTTGTGCCTAAGAAAAAAAAGAAAAGTTTATACAAAAAAATCCTAATAAGATCCTATAGCCAAGCAGCTATTAAAGCGTTATCATGTAAAATTCAGCGAATACATCCAAAATCTCCAACAACCTGGTGAAACATAACAACCTGATGGGTACCAGGACACAATGGAGTTTTGAATAACGAAAAAGCAGACAACCATTTCAGAATGGATCAAAAAAAGTCAAAAATGAGAAGTAGTAATCTCTATCTAACCTAAACACAGCAAGCTTATGTTAAAAACAGCCTCACCAAGACAGGCAAACTCACTGCTATAGTTAGAGAGGGCTAAACTCGGAAGAGCTTTAGGATGACTGGGCACTGGCATCTGAGAAAACTACTAACTAACATGGGTACAGTAATGACCCCATTTGTAGGTTATGCAATAAGGAGGAAGAAACAACCACCCACATATCATGTTCAAATGCTCAATGGAGACATAACCTGGAATAAAAGAAAGTACAAGGAAATAAATTTTATCAATGACAACAATATAGCACTTCTGATACGAAGTAAGCTAAGATAAAAATTGCGTTGATTTAACTGAATTAAGGAACTAGGGAAAGTGCAATAAACCAGAAGGCTGCAGTCCTTAGGGTACATAAAACCTCCACTTTTTACTGTCCATATTCATCATTATGACCACTCCATCCTAACAAAGGCTAACTCCCTTAAGAGGAAAACATCGATAGTAAGAAATAAAACCTGAATAGATGATTTTTTTTTCAAAGCCATCAATTTAAGCCACTGACCTCTTAGATAACAATTCCATAGTGTATTACATGATCAGGAATATTTCTATGATTAAAACTATTTGTTGAAAATATGAAATAAATTATTTTACATGTTATAATAGGTCTCAATGAGTATTAACCCTTGTTAGCTTCATTATTTTTCTCGCGATATTAAGAATTGTGTACTTTGTTCTTATACTAATTTATATTCCAGGGTTACGAATTCATGATTTTCTAATTTATATTCCAGGGTTACGAATTCATGATTTTCTAATTTATATTCCAGGGTTACGAATTCATGATTTTTCTTTGGATGATTCTCAACTACCGACCAATTCAAATACTCAGGAAGTGATAGACGAAAATCTAGGCCAAATGCTCAATTCCATTACTAAACTCAAAGGTATTTAACTTGTTTCTGATATTTATTTCTATTTTATTGCATGTCTTTTATTGCATGTCTTTTATTGCATATTTAATGGGAATGTAATTTAATTTTTGTAATTTGTAATTTAATTTAATGTAACTGCTGAAAATTCCAGGGCTTACTGCTATCAGGAAATCCCTATTTTGTGAAATACCAATCTTTTTTTTTTTTACTAGATCCACATGTCTTATCTCTCTGTTACAAATAAAAGGCTGTTGATAGTTATTAAACATTACTACTTTTATATAATTTGTAATCATAAATAAATAAAAATAAAATACTAATTAAATAAAATTAAATTACATTTAAAAAAGTACTTTGGCTGGCCTAACAGTTGCTTTTAGAATAAATAAGCCACACATAAATTTAATTTTTTTTAATGAGGGTATTTCAGCAGTGAGGTTATATGAACCCTCAGAGTGCTGGTGTTAAAAAAAAAAAATTTGTATGTATGTCTGGTTCGAATGCAGGGCTGCTGGATTCGAACTTGGGACCTTTACCTGACAGTGATGAGTGCTGTGTCAACACCTAAACTGTCACTAAATAAACAAAACATAAAAATAGCAATTAAACTGTATTAACACAACTCCCATAAATCTTTTTGGGAGTTGTGACGAGTTGTCTCGTCCGGGCTTGGAGGCCCCCCAGGCACACTGACGAACTACCTCATTTGAGCTTATACGCTCCCCAGGCCTTGTGATGGGTTATCTTATATTCATGGTTTTTCCTTTTAAGGCCCTAGCTGGGGGCATCTAGTGAGTTAAGGTTTTATCCAATGTGTAGCAGGCATGTTTGTAGCAACTGAAGACCTTTCTCATACTCATCATCAACAAACCACTTTTTTCTTCCCCTACCCAAAAATTAATGGAGTACAATGGAGTTCTTCAAAGCACTGAATACACAGTATAATTTTTCTGTCACCAGTGCTACAAACTTGGCAGTAGAAGCATGTCCTCACCTTCCTACCTCGCCCATCAGCTCTTTTGCTGCAATTTATTTAAAGGATTTTTTTCCCCCAGAGGTTAAAGGTAGGAAAGTAGGAAAATGGCCAGCAAGAGAACGAAGGACTATATGGACAGGATGATGTATTTCCTAAACACCAGGTACTCTATCATGTCCAGTCGCCAGCCATTTATCTTCTTCTTGTCCACTTGGGAATAACTATTAAACAAGAAGAAGCAATCCATGAGTGAGGTGAAAAAAAATCAACTTTTTGCACCACTTTTACCTTTTTATATTATTATTATTTTATTGACTTTTTTATTGTCATTTCCCTCGACAACTGTAGCTTTACTTTTTGCTGTATTCCTTCCTTGAAACATTTTGATTTGTAGCTACTACATGTGTTTAAATTGAGCCCCCAGTTTTTCCATTGAATAAACTCATTTTTGAAGGGGTTCGGGATCGAATTCAGCGTCTCTGAGGCCTGAACCCACCAGACCTTCCATTGATGGGTGTCAACTCTCACTGTGGTCACCTCTTCTCTTAGTCAGAAAATCCAGACATGATGCGACGGTGGGAATCGAACTCACGACAGCGGGATCTACAAGCCGAGAGTCTGACACCTTAACCACTTGACTATCGCGGTCCCCTTTTTTACCTTCTTTCTTATCTTTCCCTTCTTTATTTCACAGCTCTTCCTCTAAAAACTGCTTTGAAGTGGGGGAAAAATAATAAATTTGAGACCTACCCGCCTCCATTGGATTAAATAAATTTTTTGTTTATTAACTTCAGTCCTTTGATTATTGATTTTCTGTTATTTTCAGGTCTAGCACATGGATTAAGTGAAGAACTAAACTCTCAAAATGACATGATATTTAATGTTATTGAAAAAGTGGACAGAGCTGACACCACTATTCACAAACAAAACAAGGATATCAACAAATTGCTAAAATAAACAACAAAAATGTTCAATTTTTCTAAATTTATATATAACTATGTATTTCAAAAGTGAATGTTTAAATATTATTACTTTATTTTGATAATAGAACCAAAGCAGAAAAAAATTCTATAATTTGTGAAATAGTTCATAAAAAAATCAGTTATATACTTATTTGTTATGTGTACATCACTACTATCAACATATGAAAAAAATTTTTGGTCAATAAATGTGGTTATTGTTATTGTGTTATTATTACTAGTTTAGTCTTATTTTATAAAAATATTGTAATATATTTTAATATGTTTATTACTTTTTTGAACTCTCTTTAATTGTTAATTTTTTTTTGGTCAAAATTATTTGTACAGTGTTAAGGCCAGGTGTAAGAGGGAGAATCTATGTATATCATGTGCTATGAAATATTATTTCTAGTATTATTGAAATTATTCTAATATTATTAGTCCTGTATAAAGCAATACCAAATTTTGTGCATTATAGCTTTTAATTTTTAAAGTATTCGTTCTTTCCAAAGCATTTGTGTTATGCACTGTATTATCTGTGTTATTATTATTTTAAAAATTTATCAGTCTACCAAAAGTTATAAATATGTATACAGAAATTACATTCCTATAATTTCACTTGTACCAACGTATTTAATAAATTGTGTGTCTTAAAAAAAAATAAAATTTTATATTTTCTGTTCATTGTTTGATGTTTGTTAGTCCATTTGCATTTGGATTTATGTAAAGTCAAATGTGTACATGTTTACACGCTTTTGTAATTTACAATAAATTACTGGCAGCTGTTGAGAATCCGCATCTCGTGCGTTGGCAGTCTGGGTTCAGACCTCGGGTCTTATCCAGACACCGAGGTTGTGTTCCAGGTGCTATGCTAACAGCTAGGTCAATTCAGCACCCAATGCATGCAGTTCCTAGGCCCAAACCCATTCACACTCTTGCTCACTCCTAAATAAATTCTTTCTTATTTACTTACCATTCAATCACTTAAGGAGGTGTCATTCATCCAGCACCTTTTATGCCTAATTGAGGGTCGATGGGGTACTATTTATCTATTTCTAATTTATCGCCATCAGCCTTTGTACACTACACATTCACGCTAATAAATACATTCACTCTCAACAAACATTATGGACACAAAATTATCATTACTATGTACAATAAAACCACCCTGTTTACTCCAAGAATAGGAACAGGAGAAATGCTGCTGTGCTCAAGCACAATTCTCCTCCCAGGTGGTATTCCTATGCGCTCTCTATATGGAGCCAAGGAATTGCACCATTCAATTAAGTGGGGGATGCATTGAGCAATCTTTCTCTACATGTTGGACACATTTGTGTGCTTTGGACGAAAAGTGTCCTTGTCAACCTTGCATGGCCTGTTCTTAATTGGGTGATGGTGACCTCTCTTTTACGCATCAGCTTTTTCGAGGGCCACCTATCGACAGTACACTTGCTATTCAAGAGTTTCTTTACTAATTCGGCTCACTGTAACTGCCATTTTCTTTTAATTATGATTTTGACAGTCACCCTTTTAGCCATGCCTAACCATCCCTGAAACATCTACAAACCATTTAAAATAAATTTCTTTGTACATTGTATTTTAGGTTTGACTCACAATGATAAATCCTCTCATGCTTCCATTAAATCTTATGTCAATATTCCTGATCTTGCTGCAGAAATTTTTAGATTATTTTTATTTTCAAATTAAAATAGATTCCCAGAAATCCTAGGTAAACTCCAATTTGATGCACCTCCTTACCACCTCAGAAATCAGAAAATATTTTTTATTGAATTAAAGGAACAAATTTTTCACTATTTTCCCTGATGCAAAGCATGATGACAGAATGTTACAACATATGCAACACTATTAAATTCACTAGTTTCGTGGTCCGCTTGACCAATTATCTTACGATTAATTAAGGTTGTTAGTTGAGATAAAAAAGTCAGTGGCATGAGCGGGATTCGAACCCACGATCTTCGGCTAGATACGCCGCTGCTCCACCACTTGAGCTATCATGACCTCAATCCACTCGGACACCATTTTTCAAATGGCAAAAAGGAGGAAAAATTCAAAAGGTGTGGTTGAGCTGGGAGGTTAGTGTCCAAGTGGATTGAGGTCACGATAGCTCAAGTGATAGAGCAGCGGCGTATCTAGCCAAAGATTGTGGGTTCGAATACCGCTCATGCCATTGACTTTTTTATCCCAACTAACAACCTTAATTAATTGTAAGATATGCAACACTGTTGATTTGTTTAGTATGACTTTTTTCACATTAAAAGTCAGCTACTCAAAGGGTAACAATTTTATTTAGTAAAACAAAACCTAAAAATGTACTAAGTAGGCAGACAGAAAAAAAACCAGATGAATTTTGTTGTTTATTTCAAACTGTATGTAATTTTATCGTTATATTAATTACAACATACTTATGTTAATCTAAGCCAAATTAAAGTAAATCAGAAATTCATGAATTTTAATAAAAAATATTTCATTATGATGGCTTGAAAGAAATTCACCAAAAAATCATTTGATGATAGATTAAAATTTAACTATTTTTTTTACCCAATTACAAAACCAGGTAATAAATTGTTTATTAAAATTCACTCTACCTCAAATCATTTATATTAAAATAAATATGTTGTAATTAATAATAACAATATATATGGTTAGAAACAAACAACAAAACATGAATGTACGGTTTGTTTGTCTTTTTGTATATACAGTTTTCTGTGTATAATTCCTAGTAATTATATGTAACCAGCGTGTTTAATTAAATCTTTGTTGTTTTATTTATAATGATTTATCGCCTTTTTCATTGATATCTTTTCGAGTAAGCTTAGTGGAGTTATATGCATAGTCATAGTCATTTATTAATGTTGTTATTTATAAGCATTGTATTGAAATATATTTTTCTCCTGTACTTTTGTATACGTTTTTTAAGAAATGGGTTTTTGACCCGTAAATAAATTTAAAAAAAGATGAAAGAAAAAAAGACTGCACCACTTTTTTTTGACGTCACTTCTCAGACCCAATTGTGACAGGCGATTTTCAATTGAGATAACAAGTCTATGCAAAAAAATTGTTGTGGGTGTCAAAACTGTTACAAATAAGTCAGGTTAGTTTATCAAATCTGCAGAATGTAAATTTGACATGTCCTTATCAATTTACCATGACAATGGATAGATCTGAAAATGGTTTGTACCAAGTTTTTACCAAGAGGTTGTTTTTAAATTAGGTGCAAGGTAGAACACCTATTAAACTGTTTTACCTTATATGTTCATTAGTTATAATCAGAAATCTATCAAAGAAAAATGTAGGCGTTGGTTTCAAATCTTTTCAATTCGATGATGTTTACACGGCATTGAACGCATGTTTTGGATTATTAACAATGTCAATCGTTGAAACGGACGTTTATCGAACATCGTACGATGTTCGTCATAAACTTTGCCTTTTGTAAATATGGATTTTAGCCCATTATATTTGCCATACAGCAAGCTTGTATTGTTGCATTGGGTATTTCTTGTGTATGTCGTGATTAGAATTCACGATTTATAGTTTCTGCACTTAACAGTAAAAACACATGTCAACATTTAAGGGTTCACTCGTTCTTTGGATGCTCTTATGTCTGGTTAAACTTGTGTTTATACACAGGCTGAATGTTAGCACTTTTACTACTAAAATATAGACACGTTTGTAATTTGATCGTTACTTATCATCTTGGGTGTCCTATCATCACTGTGTTGGTCTGTCAGATGCATTTCAACAAGAAGAAGTTAAAAACCTAACACATAAGATGGTGGTTTCGGTAAGGATCAAATTACCAGTTCATCACCTTGCAGAGCGCAGGAAGAAATTTCACAGTATAGACGTGCTAGTTAGACAGTTTAACGACTGTTATTTCAATTTAGGAGGATAGATTTATTAATTGTGAGATTTATGGGATGATGAACCCATGGCTTGGTTGTTTCTGATCATCCTGGTCTGCTTACCTACAAGGCTAGTCTATCAGATGCGTTTTGGCATTTCGCCATCTTGTCTGAAGAAGAACTGAAGATGGTGGAATGCTGAAATGCATCTGACAGACTAACACATCGAGGATAAGCAGACCAAGATGATTGGTAAAGAACAAATTACAAACATGTCTATAATTTGGTAGCAAAAGTGTTAACATTCAGTCTGCAATCCTTTTTAAAAAGATTTTTCCTACTAAAAAGATAGTTTTTAAAAAGGATTGAACACCGCACTCACCCCACCATTCACCATTTCTATTCAGCCTGCATGTTAATACAAGTTTAACCGGATATGTCACAGTGAGTTAACGCTCACAAACATTAAAATAAGAAACAATGTTCAAGATTTTCAATAAAAAGTTGCTTGTGCAATTTTAAGTTTTAAAGTTTTATATATATAATAATTTATTTTGATATTAACCCCATGACTAAACAGACAACCCACCACTGATTGTGATGAAAGGTAGAAATGCGTCTGTCAGACCCAAAAAGTGAGGATAGATCTAAATGAGCGTTACTTGGCTTAAGGCAATTTTGGCCCCTGGATTAGGGCGAATGTGGACTTTTTCACAAGTGCTGTGCACATTATAATTGGTTTTTATACACGTTCTCCATAACTTAAAAAATAAGACAAAGAAGCGTGAAAGTATCCCCTTGAAGACGGTGCTGGTGGGTTTGCAGGCACTTGGTGGGCCGAGCCCCATGCTCTGTCTGTTTTGTTTTTTAAATTATTTTTACTTAACTATTAGTTTTAGGAGGGTCTTTAGTTGCTGAGTTGTTAGGGCACTTGACTCTTTTATTTGCTTTGCTAGTAGTTGTGGGTTGAGTAATTGGTAGCTCTTGGAAGTTTGTTAAGGGTAGTAAGCTCTCATAGACAAATCATCGATTTTGTCTGTAGACTTTTGAAGAACAAATCCAAGATGATCGAGAACCTCTGTTACGCATCCACACCTGCACAGCTCAGTTTAAACTAGTTTCTGCGATAACATGATGAGTGAGATAGTTGCCTGCTGCTTGTGCAATTTTAAATTTTGATCATAAAAGGAAAATTCATTGTAAACGGTTGACAAGGATCATTTTAGCAGACACTCCTACATTTGGATTGACTCTAGTTCAGGTTCAAGAAATTTCACCTGGCTAACCACCACGTTTTTGAAAATTTGCTACTTACAGTTGGAAATAAAATATGCAAGCAAGAAACATGATTCAGAGCGACCATTACAGCCTCTCTGTTGTCTCTGTTGTTGATGTTGCACAACATGTCTCCATTTTTTTTCTGAGCTGTGGGACCATAGACTTGCGATTTTTATCTACAGGTATTTGCAGAACAAGTGATTTGTTCCTGATTTGTCTATAGATAATTGCAGGACTTGTCTATAGACATGAGTTGTGCGATTTTGTCTAAGAGTGTGTACTAGCCTTCAGATTTCTAGTGCGGTCTGTGGGGTGATGAATCTGTGATTTGGACATTACCGATCGCCCTTGTCTGCGTATTCTTGCTGTGTTGGTCTCTCAGTCCAAGATGATCAGTAACGATGAAATATTCAAAATTCATTAGAGAAGTTTGTTTAAAAAAAATTATTGTTGAGTGATCTGACCCCCTTGTCAGTGAAATTTAGTTTTAAGTCCTCCTGTGTGACAGATCATTGTCCCTGCCAAGCTGGTTTGTGTGCACTTTTGCACACCTTGGAGGATCTGAGATGGATTCACCCTACTCCGCATGCTCTGATTCCCCAAGTGTTTTCCGAGCTTTAAAGGATAGTTCTCAGCAGATCCTGTGTTCTCACTTTTATTCAAAAGAGGGCTGAGTTGGTGGAAAAAAAGTTAAATGATAGCAGTTATTTGAGTACCAAGTGACATACAAGGACAATGGTCATAAGTAGAGATCGGATTTTTATCCAGTAAAGATTGCCAAAATATGCCATAAAATATGCAGTTGAAAGCCCTGAAATATGCAGTATATACAGTAAAATATGCAATGATATGCAGTAACCAGTTTTTTTACTATCATAGAAATATTAAACAGAAATATAGATAATTAAACAAAATAGATATTAAAGCCCTTTAAAACTAAAAATAATTAAAATTCACAAGTATTTAGAGGTTCCCCCCCAACTACGAGGTTATTTGAACCCTCGGGGTGCCAGTGTTTTTGAAAAACGAGGGACCTTTACCTTACAGAGATGAGCGCCATGTCAACGCCTAAACTGTTGCGGCCACTGACGCCCCCTTGGTTTATTTACATTTGACAAAAATATTTTTCCACTTACATAATTAAATTATATATTTTATACTGATTGAGTATAATTAATGTTATGTAACTAAAGTATTCTCTAAATTGTCTTCCATGAAATTGTGCCTACAATCACTTAAAATTTGTGATTATATTCAATATTGCAATAAGACTTAAGAAGGGGTTTTATATTTTTTTGTCGGTATTGATAGAATCTTCTCTTCCTGTCATTGCAGTCTGTTTCAGTTTTTTCAAATTAAACCAACTTTTAATCAAATTGTTATTTGTTACTAATTTTTTTATGCTTCCCCAAAAACCAAAGTAATGTTTTAAATATTTTGCGTGATAAATGCGATTTTACGTAAAAATCCGTCAAATGTGCGATATTGTTTAAATATGCAATTTTATGCGATATTCATCAAATATGCAAAACTATACTATATAAAATTTAACCTATGGCTTCCTAGATACATGATTCAGATAGATAATTGATTTCTTCCAATGTATGTGGTGGCAAACAAAATATAAAAATCATATAAAATCAGGTCATAAAATCAGGCATCATCAGGCATAAAAATCAGGTCTCTAATCATAAGTCAGTGGAACCCTTTAACCAGATCTACCATGATCCACCCCTCTCATACTAAAAATGGTTTCAGTTAATATATAAGGGTTAGAGTGTAGTGTGTACCTGGTCATGTTCATAAAAGATTGTGCTTTGAGAATCAGAGTTATAAACAAGAGATCATGTTATATACATGCTTGAGAATAGGCCAAAGCCCTTGCAGGTTCCTGCTTGAAGTGGTTTGACACATAATAATGAAGAGTGTCATCCTGGCTCCTTATAGAAAGTGAGTAGGTATTCCTGACATGCAAACATTTATTGAGCAAGTAACTGAATTGGGGCATCTGACTTGTGACCAGCTTTTCCTATCCAAAACCTTGTGCCTTTAACTTATTCCCTGTACTGATATTATTTTACAGTTTATTTCATTAATCACAAATCTTGAAATTTTCCTTTCTATTTGTACCTTAGTAGTTAATTTAGTTTACACGACAATTTTCATAATTTGACGACTTCACGAATATGTGAGCCTTGCGTTTTGCATTCATAGTTGCTGATATATGGATGCTATTGTGATAGATCAGAATAATTGTTCATGGTTGATTATTTCATTAAATCATCTGTAAATTGTGTCTTTTTATTAGCTGATATCAGTGTGATGGAAAAATAAGTAAATTATGTCATTGTTCCTGTTGATAACAGTCCATGACTCAGTATTTGTTATTCCTATACTTGTTTACAGATACCAAAACACTGGCTGCATTGAAAACTTCGTTTTGCACACTTGTCTGTGCTAGCTGCCTAAATACAATTGAAGAAGATGAATACGTTCAAGCACTAGGGCAACAGTGGCATGCTGATTGCTTTAGGTAAAGAACATCAAGCAAAAATTAAGGCAAAACTAACCATCCATTTTATTATTTTAATTGAAAACATAATATGCTATCAAAATAAAATATTTGACAACTTAACTGCCACTGTTAATTAGTGGTCTTATACTTTTGGCACTTTTTTTTCTAAGTTTTAAGTACCTTTATGTGTTGCTACACATTTGGTATTTCAGAATTTAAAATTTTCTAATTACATTGTATAAATAAAATTCTGTATGGCTAATATGTTCTTTCTCTGCTCTCACCCTCCATTTGATTGTTCAATGAATAATTAAATTTTTGGTTCATACAGATGCTCTGCCTGTGATATTTCTCTTGCGAACTGGTACTTTGAGAAAGACGGCCTATTGTTTTGCAGAGATGATTACTGGACTAAATATGGGGAGGCATGTCAAAATTGTGGCCAGGTAATTTTTTCTGTTAAAAATATATGCTTCATAAATAACCTTTAATATAATACATTATTTAAATTAATTTTAACTTTTTAAGATCTTGGTTGAGATGAAAAAGCTACTGTCACAAGCGAAATTCGAATCCACAACCTTCAGCTCAGTATTCCGCTGTTCTAACCACTAGAGCTGTCGTGACTTCAAATCTCGCTCGTGACACTAGCTTATTCATCTTAACCAAGACCTTACATAAAATGTATAATTAATTGAAATAATTAATATGCTCAATTATAACTACTAAATTATATGAAACTACTAAATATGAAATTATATGAAAGTACTTACTTCACTAACAGCTCCTCGTGGCCTGCTAGTAAATACATATATGGAATAATACATTATCTTTTAACATTAAAAATTTGTGTGGTGATTAGTGACCGTTAATCGATAATTATTCAGAAATCGTGAGATGCAGTCTGGTGTGATGTAGGTTTCAGAAAAACATTTTCTTTATCGTGCCACGTTTCGATCTTTATTGATCCTGGGATTTACAAACATTGTTTACATTTAACAAATACATTTAGGATGTGGAAAAGTGAATTTATACAATACAAAATATATTTTATATTCAATCAAAGAATTTCTACTTACTCAAAGTGTTTGTCTTCTGTGTAATTGTGCCATTCTTGTGTGTCGTGTTGAGAGTGCCAGTGCGATATTGCTGCTTTATGTTTATATATGTTGGATTTTGAAGGGGTGGGGAAGGAAGTCAGTGTAGAAAAGACATTTTTGTATAAGGCGTCAGCTTCTTTGAGGTGAAAAGAGCCGACGACGGGAAACAATGTGTTGGTAATGGTTTGGCCAGATTATCCTTTCAGGATTATATAGAAAGGGATAAATAGGAAAAGGAAAGCTAAATTGTTGGACAATTAGACTATGAAAAATATTTGTTGTGTGGAATGTAATGTAATGATATATGTATGTTATCTATATTGAATTTGATTAATGATATTGGCGTAGCTGCGACTGAGTTTACATGTATCTGTTCTGTAATTGATGCTGTGTTTATCTCTGTTGATATAAACCATTTCTAAGAAATTACGTTTATGTTTGTTTTGTTCTGTGTGTAATACTTTTGGATTTTTGAAGTCGAAATTGTGTTGGTGTTCAAGATGGTGGGTAGCGAGTGCTGTAGGATTTTGCTTAGGTTTTTTGCAATCATAGATATGTTGCTTTACTCTCTTGTCCAGATATTGGGATGTAAGACCGATGTAAGTTGCCGGACAGTTTAAACAGTTGATCTTGTAGATTACGTCAGATTTATTTGTTATTGGTGTGGGATCTTTAATTTTGGAAAAAAGTGTTTGAATTGTTTTATAATTTTTGAAAGCTATTTTGAAGTTATCGGACGAGAGAAATGTGTTTAATTTATGTGATAGGCCTTGGATAAATGGTATGGAAATGTATGCTGGTTTGTTTGTATTCGATAGACTTAATGTAGTATTATTAGTAATAGTGGATGGTGTTAGTGTTGAGTTGTAATTGTTGATTATTCTGTTAATTATGTGTTTAGGGTAGAGATTGTTATGGAGGATCTGTTTGTATATCTTTATGTTCTTGTGGTGAAATGATTCATGGCTTAGGGTAATAATTCTGTGAAGTAACCCTTTGGCCGTGTTTATTATTGTATGAAGAGGATGGTGAGATGTAAAATTGAGGTAGCGATCTGTGTTTCTTGGTTTTTGATACCAATCTGTGATTAATGTGCCATCTGGTTGTTTTATTACGAGTAAAGAATAATAAAGATCGAAACGTTGGCACGACAAAGAAAATGTTTTTCTGAAACCTACATCACACCAGACCGCATCTCACGATTTCTGAATAATTAAAAATTTGGTTCGTGGGTAAAGGGGGAAACCAGCCAGCTACACTCACCTTCTGTTCTCATCCAAGACAATCTAGTAACTTTGAACCGAATCAGATACACATCCAGACCTGTATCTAAGTTTTTTAAACTTAGGCTGAAGTATGTTGGTGTTTCGTAGACGCCGGTGGGAGAAAGTATTGGATATCTACCCTCCAAGTCTGGGCGCTACCAGGGATAGTTCCTGGCTGATGCGTAAAGGATTTAGTGGATAAAAATTTAACAATTCGTTTAATAGTTAACTTTATTAATTGACAATTTATGATATAAATACTGAAATTAAAATCTGGCCAGAAACAACTTAAACAAAGTTAACAAGAGGAAATATATATAGAGCGAGATAAGTTGATACACAAAACGTTAAAAAGACAAAGAATAAGGACATTCGTACGTCTTGTTGTCGACTCACGACAGTGAAGATCAGAAGATAAGTTCGTGTTTATATTGATTGGAGTCTGGGAGCCACTCGCTGGACAAAGCCAAAGGTGCGTTCATTCGTACAGGTCGAAAACCAGGGAGCGACTGACTGAAGACAGCTGATGTACGTTTGTACGTACAGGTTGAAAACTAGGGAGCGACTCACGGTTTTTAGGATGTCTTGCTGAAAAATGACCTGTTTCTCCCTCCAGCGTCTTGATTTTGCAAATTTTCTATTTTTATCAATTTTTTAAATGATGAATTTAAGATGATAAATGATAAGATTTTTAATTAACTATTAATAAATAAAATTGTTTACATTGGCATAAACAGTTGGTTTTCACCTCATCTTCATGATTTCCCTGTCTATGTATTGCAGTATTTACACAGTATGTAATAGCAAGAAGCTACCTTGTAAGTATGTGATCCAAGGAGGACTAATCTTACCACAGTGGTTTGTGGGCTTTAAAGGGCAGGTTCTCAGTAAATCCTCTGGTAGTGCTTTTAGAAAGGATACCAGGAAGCGGGGTTTGTGCTCCCCAGGCACTGCAGCCTTCTGGCTTATTGTACCTTCCTAGTTGCTTAGATCAGTGCAACAGACTCAATTCTTCTCTTTAGAAGTATCAGGTCATTGACTGTCGCTACTACAATTTGATTCCCTAAGTTTTTTTTCCGTACATTAGGTTAAATCCCCATTGAGCTGTGACTTCGCATTAGCCAAAAAAGTTTGTGTGGTTTTCCATTTGTTATTGTTTTAATACCGCTGATCAGCATTTCTATTTATATAGGAGGATTACATGTTTATATCACATAATACCAAGAGGCATCAAAACCCATAATTTGTGCTTATTGTATGAATTTAAGTAAGCTTGGTACTAGGGCAGCCTAGGCAGCCGTAAAATTGCACTGCAATTGGTGATGGAGTGGCTCAAAAAGTTTGCTTCCGGGAACAAGAGGATTGAAGATGAATCATGGGCTGGTACTACTCTTTAGCCAGAACTACCATGAGTGTGAGTGAGAGCACCATTCAGAGATGGTTTAAAAGATTTCGAGTGGGAGACTTTAGCCTTGAAGACAAAGAGGTCGTGGAAGGATTTCTTCCCAGATGATGTTCTGCTAGCTTTGGTAGTTGAAAACCGCAGAACAACTGTTCAAGAACTTGCATTTGGTAGTTGAAAACCGCAGAACAACTGTTCAAGAACTTGCATTTGGTAGTTGAAAACTGCAGAACAACTGTTCAAGAACTTGCATAGAATGCATTAAACAACTGCAAAAAAAAATTACACTTCATCACTTCTTTGCTGAACAGAAACAAACCTTTTCTGGATAGAATCGTTATTTGTGATGTAAAGTACATTATATACGATAACAGCAATCATTCCAGTGACTCGACAAAGGAGAACAGCACCACATTGTCCAAAGCCCTCGACTCATCCAAAAAAGGTGATGGTGACTCTTTGGTGGGCTTCATTTGGGCTAATTTAGTACGGCTTCTTGAAGTAACTTGCTGGCAAAACAATCAATGCCGAAATGTATTGCTCTTAAATTGAAGCAATTCAACAGGAATTGGCATTATTGAAGCTGTCTTTGGTCAATTGGAAAAGGCTGATTCTGTTACATGACAACGTTCGACCCCAAGTCCCTCTCACATGCGACGACATGAAAACTGTTGAATCTTGGTTATGAGGTTACGCCTGACCCTCCCCTGTCTCCAGACCCCTCGCCTACCAACTACAATTTTTTCAAACACGCTTTACAAAAAATTTTATGGATCGTTAGAAAATGCGTTTACAGAATTTTAATAATAAAGACTCAAAATTCAATTTAGAGGGTATAGAGAAGTTGTCATCACGTTGAGATAAGCGTATTGAGAGTGATGGAGGGTATTTGAATTAATAAAAAAATGTTTAAAATCATTTATTTGATTGTTTTTATTTTATAACCGTAAACCTGCATTATTTTCTGGAAAACCCAATAGTCCTACATGGGCGGTGCAAAGTGTGTGTTGTCTGGATGGGTGAATTTGCCGCGGGGTTGAAGGTTTACATTCAGAATGGTTTGAAGGGGCTGAAATGACTGTGGTGTTAAATATCCTTGAGGGGGCGGGTACACATTAATTACAATTACTATTATTATTCAGAAATCGTGAGATGCGGTCTGGTATGATGTAGGTTTCAGAAAAACATTTTCTTTATCGTGCCAACGTTTCGATCTTTATTGAGATCATCTTCAGGGCTCAAAGTGTTTGTCTTCTGTGTAATTGTGCCATTCTTGTGTGTCGTGTTGAGAGTCGTGTTTTTCTGAAACCTACATCACACCAGACCGCATCTCACGATTTCTGAATAATTATCGATTAACGGTCACTAATCACCAAACATTTCTACAATTACTATATTGCACTATAATTATGTTCATTTGAAATTGATAGTAATTTTTTTTTTCATTGTGTAGATAATAACTGGTCCAGTTATGGTCGCTGGTGACCATAAATTTCATCCTGAATGCTTTAGATGTACATCTTGTTTGAGCTTTATTGGAGATGGAGAGTCTTACGCATTGGTTGAAAGATCCAATCTTTATTGGTGAGTCAGGCATTTAATTGAATTAATATATTTATATTTTTCACTTAAATTATGTGATTTAAAATAATTGTGATAGCCTTAAATTACATAATTTAAAATAATTGCTGTGGCCGTAATAGTTTAGGCAGCGCTCATCACTGTAAGGTGGGTCCCTGGTTCAAATCCAGCAGTTCAGAATTTAAACCCCAAATATTAATTTTTTTTTTAAATCTCAGGCACTTTGACGGGGTTTATATAACCTCACAGTTGAAATACCCTCGTTAAAAAAAAATGTTTAAAGTGTTTGATGTGTTGACCACTTTTTTACTCTCAAATAAATGAAAAAAAAAATTAATTGTTATCTGCCAAGCTTTTGACCTATTTTAAGTTTATCGTCAGGACAAAACTTATCTTAAAAATGTTTACAAATTGACATAATTAAGTTTTTTTTAAATAATTGCTTTTAAAGTTTCTTTGAAGATAGACTCAGTCCCAACATTGCCAAGGATAGTTAACACTGTTGATGTGAAAACTTGGCAGATAAAAATTGAACGTCTTTTTTTTTATTCAGACCATACCGAGAAATAGATTATTCATGATTATCAAAAATTGTTTAAATGCTGCCGATTCATACCGTCGGTCTCAAGACGTACTCATTTTGGATTAATAATATCTTAGACGGAAGTTTTTCAGCATAGTCTTAATCAAACCACTATCAACAATAACCTCGTTTTTTTCCCAATATAATGTAATTCATAAGTAGTATATGTCATTTTTAATTTGTGCTGTGTAGCTGCTAACAGCTAAATCGAAAAACTGGCTCTCATGTAGTATTTTTATTTGAAATTCGTACATTTTTTTTTGCACATTGTACACATTTTTTTCTTCTTTCTGTGTTATTTAGTGGCCCTTGCTACAAAAAACAAGTCCAACCATTAGCTGTAACATCGTCCAAAGTCTCACATTCCATAAGGTTGGTCGAACTGCCTGCTACAGGTATAAACAGGCAAGGGATAAGGCTCACTGTCGATTCTATGGTAAACAATCAAACAGCTAATTGCCCTCGACTTAGGATTTCTCAGTAAGTACTTTTCATACTTAAAAATGTATGTTAACTATATGTCATAAGACATGCACTTTTTTCAGTTGAATTGAATGTAGACATTCCAATTTAATTTTTTTTGCTAATTACTTTTGATCTCCATATAAATTTTCTTTCCATTTTAATCCTTTTTTCTCAAAGTTCTTCTTGTTGTGTTCTGTAGTGAATAATAAAATATAAAATTGTTATAACCTTCAATTTTTTATGGCATCCATCCACTGAACCTTTGTAACTAAATTGTACATAGTAAACAATATTTGCAAACAAATTTTGTATAGATGAAAATGGATGCCTGAACTTAAAAAATTATAATTTTGTTAATTATCGCATGCTTTAATACTTCTCTCTCCTAGATTAACTATTTCCAACTGCCTGTTAATTCATTATTGATCGATCGACATTTTAAATGAACTCTCATTTTCTTTTACTTGTTCACTTAAATATTAACTATTTTCTCTATGGTATATTGCAAAATAATAAAGACCATAGGCAATAATCCAAAATACTGAATCTAAAATGGCAGTAACAATTTTTTGGTAAAGGTTTCTGTCTTGGATTGGCTTGAGATGCTTAATATTGTGAACATGAATATTATTCTTTAAAAAAACAAACACTTATGTGTATTTATTGTTAGTCAATTAAATTGTTATATATGTTTGTAGTTAATGTGAACATACTGGACAAGTATGTTGACAACTTTTCTGGAGTATTGTATCTATGAGAACAAAAAAGGTAAAATGTGATTGTAGTGTGTTTCACATTTACATTTGAAAAGTGTTACCAGTGTGATTTAATAATTAACTATTTATAGTGTTTCATTTTATTGTTAGGTTAACCCTCAACGTCATAGGTATGTCTGTGAGTTGCCTATGAGTACATCAGGATATTTTCTGAACTAGTTTTGGCACAACTATTGGTTTCACACTAGACTGTGTAAATCTCAGGCTGTATTTCAAATACATCACGACGCATTGTTCCTAAAAATCCTAAAGTTTCTCCAACTTTGTGTAAGTTTGTCATTTGTTAAAAAGGTAGTGAATCGGTATGGCGCACCTGTGGCACTCGAAAGTTCAGTGTGACCCAAGACGTGCCTGTTTTCAAAATTTGCCTTTTTCCATCTTCCAGGATTAGCAAGTTTTCATTATCTCTTAACTATTTGTGGAAAAATAAATAAATGGAAGAAAGACTATTTAAGTGCGTTCCACATCATTGTTGTTTGTTTCAAAATAAAATACTTTTTTGCAAAAATTATTTCCTAATGATGAATCTGGAACACAAATTCTTTTCATTTAGTTATGTTTCAAATCAATTTGTTGTTGTTAAAATGGCATTGCATTTTGATGATCCAGGTGATACCCTCCAAGGCAAGAATCTATTAGACGGTTAAAACATCAACAACATAAAGTAAAGTAAAAATAATGTAATATTTATTATTACAGTTCTAATTGGATACAGTCAAAACTAATATAAATACATACAAAAGTAGGTAAACTTTGTATAAGGATAAGTTAAAACATCAATAAAAAATGGCTTTATAATCTCTAGCACAGAGTTACAAGCCGAGTTGAAGATAGCTGCGGAATCAGCAATATTTCCTGTTTTATTCAGGATAATACAGCATACAAAATATCCTTAGGATCCATAATTATTCCTGTGTGGCTTGACACTGAATACCTCATGGTATCTCAAGTTCCTTGCAGGGATGTTAAGGGAAAAGCAAAAGAGGGCGTAAGGTCCAAGTACTTGTTGAGTGTCGTGGACGAGGGATCAAACTAGTTTACAATACTTCTTTTAAACTATTCTCAAGTAAAAAGTTATATGCTGTGCTTGGATTCAAACCCAAGACCACTAGCATGGCAGATATTATACGATTTGGACGCCCTAACAACTTGGCCACTGCAGTTCCCAGCAGTTAAAAACTTCCAATGTTTACCTGATGAATCATGCACAGCGGATTCATAGTTGATATGCATAAGAAGCTTGTTCTTCTATAGTGTCTTGTATGTACTCTATGCCTACTATCTTTCAATTGTGTTAAATAAATAATTATTTAAATCACCACTACCCATTAACATTATATTGGAGTTAGTGTCTGAGTAGATGGAAGTCACGATAGCTCAAGCACGATCAGCATCAAGCGATTAGAGCATGGCGTATTTAGCTGAAGGTTGTGGCTTCGAATCCCACTTTTGACATTGACTTTTTCACCTCAACCAAGACCTCAGTTAAAAAGAATAATTAATTGAAATAATTAACATGGCCAATTATGACTGCTAAATATATATGGATTATTTAAATACATTTGCTTTTTTGAATGCTGAGAAAATAGTAAACAATGAATTATTGGGAACTAGACCTAGATAGCTGTGATGTTAAGGGTTAACCTGGCCAAATGAAATTCTTCTCTTTCAAAATTTAATGTTATTTTTTAAGATGTAAAATTAATGAGAATATTTTCTTATTTGACATGTTTGTGTTCATGTATCCTATGATAATTTACAGTTTTCAGTTAATATTTTTGACTAACATAATTTATTTTAAATGATAGTAAATAACATTCTTAAGTGTGTGGTATTTAGTGACGGTTAATTAATGATTATTTGGAGATTGTGAGATGCCGTCTGGTGTGACGTAGGTTTAGAAAAACATTTTCTTTATTGTGCTAACGTTTTGATCTTTATTGAGATCATCTTCAGGGCCTGGGATTTATAAACATTGTTTAAATTATACAAATACGTAATACGTGTAAGATGTGAATAAATGAATTTATACAATGATAGAAAATGTACTTATACAATTAATTAATACAATAATAGTCTAAAATTTCTATCATTGTATAAATTCATTTATTCACATCTTACATGCATTTGTATAATTTAAACAATGTTTATAAATCCCAGGCCCTGAAGATGATCTCAATAAAGATCGAAACGTTGACACGATAAAGAGAATGTTTTTTCTAAACTTACATCACACCAGACGGCATCTCACGATCTCCAAAGAATCAACATTCTTAAGTTTTCAGTGTTTCATAAACATCTTAGAAGTGTTTAGTTTTAAAAGTATTTCCAATATTTTTCATATGATGAATGGTCATCAGAGTTCACAAATAGGGGTTTTGTCAGTCTTAATACCGAAAAGTTTCATTTTTAATTCGCAACGTTAAAAGTGATTCAGTTTAAAATTTATTTTAAAAATACTTTATAATTTTTTTAAATGAGGTAAGAGAATATCACATTGTTTTCAGATTCATCATTAATGTTATGGGAAAAGTTATGAAACTGGCGACATCGATTTTAGAAGCTGCAATTGAACTTTGTTGCCTTCTAACGCGCTATAGGTACTTAAATTGGTCAGCTAATAATAACTTTGCACGGATATAGTTGCATCTTGATAATTTATTTCATTTTTTTATTTTTTAAATTTAGATTAGTTATCTTGTTATGGTTTTTTCATTTTAATGTTGCTCTTAAGTCACCTATGGTCTTTTTTTCACTGGATAAATACAATGATTGATTTCATTTTACATAAAGCCATTTCACATTCAGAATATTTTTAAATGACTATTTCATGATTCATTTTTTTTAAACACCTTTCAAAAGTAATGAAAGCAAGTTTTCATGGTTAGTGTACCTAAAGTAAAATAATGATTAAAAAAAAAGTTTTGCCAATAATCTTGAAACATACTTGATAATAGGAAAGGAAGTAAATGGGATTCTAGTTAAGTTGATTACTTACTAATCCATAATTTTATATATGATAAACATTTATTTTTCCAATCCCATCTAATTGTCAAAGACTCATGGAAGTTCTGAGATAAGCGAAAATTTTTCATTTGTGTTATCTGTCATCCCATTAAGTAACTAGATTCTAGTTTTGAATCTAGTTTTGTACTAAGGGGTATATTATTTTAATGTACACCATTTGAAAAAATAGTATCGTCAAGAGTTTCACTACTAGCTTAAATTTTGACAATTTTCTAAAATATGTATTCTATGAAAGTAATTTTTCACTTTCAATGCATGAGTATGGTGCTGTTATTTAAATTTTGAATATAGATAAAAAATCCCTGTTGGGTGGCCAGTATAGCATACTCACATTTTGTGCATGCGCATGCGTTAATCCATTTGTAATAAAATTCATAGGGGATCATCTAGAAACCAGCCCGCATAATCCCTGAAAAATCCCCCCCCCAGCCAATGATTTAGAAGATACAGCTGTGTATGGGGTTTTACGTTTGCGCATGTGCAGGCGATACCGTTAATCCGTTGTGATGAAATTCATTTATATCTAAAAAATAACCAGCACAATCTCTGAAAATTTCATAAAAATTGGCCTCATGGTTTTGGAGTTTTGCTGGTTACACGGAATTGACCACAGGCAGACAGACAGATAGACAGGCAAAGAACAAAATTTGTTCAGAAAGGTCTGAAACGCAAAATGCGAGTTGAAATTTTAATTTTTAAGAACAAATTTTTGTTTTTATTTCACCAAATGAATACAAGGCTTCCCTTACCTTCGATAGTTTGGAAGCAAAATCTGGACCCTTGTATTTATTTATTTTCCCTAATAACTAGGTATAAAGATTAATAGTTGACTTAAAACATAAGCACAACATTAATAACGTGTTGTTTACTTTTATAGAGTGTTACTAATCCTTTTACACTCTTTAGATTAAAAATAAACCAAATCAGTTCTATTTCATCACTCTCATCTGACCTTCCTGTTAAGTCTGGCATTTCTCAAGGTGCAAATTTAGAACCCTTATTGTTTTCACTTTGTATTAACAACCTCCCTTCTTGTGTAAATTACTCCACATTTCACTTATATGCTGACGATACCCATCTCTTTACTCGATGCCCCCTCATTTAATCCCCGATTCCATTCAACTTATTTACAAAGGCCTTTCTAGCTTGATTAATTGAGCTTCAAACAATGTCTTAAACTTAACCCACCCAAATCCCAATCGATAATTATTTAGAACACACATCTGCCAACTGAGGATTTTCCTTGCATCTTGTTGGCTCTTTAATAACCTTCTTTAACCAGGAAAAAATTAGCGTGACTTTTAATACCAAATTATCTTGAGTGAGTTAATTGGTTTGTTAAATTGTTTTCTGTGTTGAAACAGTAAATATTTTTTGTCTTTAAAAGCTTGGTTTTAAGTCAAGGTGGATGCTTTGGCCAATGATGGACGTAGTGTCGGTTTCAAGACCAAGTCCTGGGCGTACTGTGCTCTCTACCATCCACGATGGTCTACAGTGGTTTAGGGCCACCGGAAGTCTCGATCGAAGAGAAACGGTTGACTGCAATGTCCGCGACGGCTAGGGATGATTGTATTATTGCTCTTACCACACCATGGAGCCATCCTTTAACAGCTTCTCTGATAGGATTCAATACTGTCATCAGAAGGCTTCATGAAAATAGCCTAGTCTTAAGCGGCCCATAGACAGTCAATATTATTGCACAATATAGATTGCACAATAATTTGATGGGTGCTCCTTAACGTTCAATAATATTGTACAAAATTTTGTTTGAAGGCGATATTGAAGTTTGTACAATATTTTGTGCAACCACGAGCATGCGAACTGTACCACTTGTTGATACTTCACGAACTGACTGATATTGCGCAATAATGCCAACAGACGGTGCAATATTTTCCAGGTTGTACAATATATTTTCAACTTTTCGTCAATCATGCAATGTATTGCACATACTTTCAATATCGTCTACACACGATCAATTAAATTGCACAACCAAAAATATTGTGCAATAATATTGATCGTCTGTGGGCCGCTTTAGACATCCTGTGTAAGGTTCTCTATTACTGGAGAGACATTGATTAGAAAGGCGGCTATTCGCCAATCAGAATCTTGGTAGGATGTTCTTTTGCATAGATGAGTGCCGGTTTGGTTTATGACAATCAGATGACCAGGACCGTGTATGGAGAACGCTTTGCTTCATGTGCTGTGCATCTTTTCAAAGACAGTCAGTTGTTTGGGGTGGATGTAGATGCCTGTACTGAACTGATTATCATACGTGGATCTTTGACTGGACTAAGGTACATTGAGGAAGTTCTTCTGGAAGCTGTGTTTCCATTCCCTTCATTTATTGGGGACAACTTCATGTTAATGCATGACAATGCTCGCATGCAGCTCACCTAGATAGAGTTGTCACCCATTAATTGGAGGATGTAGGCATTATCACAATAAATTGGCCAGGAAGTTCTCCCTTATGAAACATGATAAAGTGATGGATTAGGCATCGTTTGCCGCCTTCAACCAGCGTTAAACTGCTTCAAACCACCCTGTTCCATGAGGGCAGAGGAGGTAATATATTTTATTAAGAGCAAAACAACAGTTAAATTTTAATCTATCAACAAATAATTTTCTTGTGTTTTGGTGAATTTTCTTTCATAAAATCATAATTAAATAATTTTTATTAAAACTCATGAATTTCTGATCTCGTTTAATTTGGTTTACATTAAAAGAAGTACATTATCACAATAGGCATTATCAATATGCAACGGCTTATTAATGCAACGATAAAAATACATATAGTTTGAATTAAACAACAAAATATGAGTCTGTTTTTTGTCTTTGAGTATTTGTTGTTGGTTGGCACAGAAAATTTATAGTTCACAAAAAGCGCAACATTCAGTATATTGCACTTTACAAATTTTTCACAAGCTAGTATGATAAGGCTAGGTGGTACATTGCAGCCTCAGCATTTCAAATTGTCGTTCATCGTGAGCAGATTGTAATAGTCAACACGTTATATTTGAATTAGTAAAACCTTCATACAATATTATTTTTACATTTGAATCAACCACACTTTTAATAATTATACCCGAATTCAAAATCATAATTGTAGTATCGCATGCTTTGAAAGTAACCCTTGTAGGGGGATAATTAACTAATAAGCTTTTTTATTAATAAGTAAACTTAATCTTCAAAAATTGGTAAGGTAGCTAAGGAAAGTGAAAAATGTAACATTATTCATGTATATTTTTTACAAGTTTCTATGCATGATTGTACACTTTTAATATTAATTAGTCTTTTGTTTGCACTCTGCCATTCAACAACCTTTAGTTTATAGTTTCAGCATATAAAAATATCATGTATGTTGTTTCGTACAGGTCAGCAATTTGCAGTTGTACGTTTAACTTCAGGAAATTTAAATAGAAACATGCTAATTTTTTAATTTTAAATATTGGTATTTAATTTTTTCAGGCTTGATGTTAACAATGAGCTCATGTCTTTACATATAGGTGATCATATTTTAGAAGTTAATGGTACTCCAGTTAAAGAACAATCGTTTGAAAGTATTGAGAATCTAATTAGATATTCAGACACTGTTGTTCAGGTAAAAAAGAAAAACAAAAAAACTTGCAATTCCAAGTTTAATGTTTTCTTAAAATTACACAGCTAACTATAGAACATGACCCTGATTCATATGAAAGGCGAAAATCAGGAATACAACAGAAAATTAACATGTTTAAAGAGAAAGATAAAGAACGGATTCATAAACGAAGAGATGAAGGTTATATTAGTGGATCACGTTTATCAAGACAATTACGAAGGGGTAGGAATCCAGAAAAAGAAAGGTCGTCTTCAATGTCAAGACTGTTAGAAGGGTCTGTTGTTTTGATTGTATTCTATGTTTTCTCAAATTCATTCTTAAAAAAACAAAACAATTATTTTCGTTTTGAATTTAGACCTTCACCTACTGACAGGGATTGTGATTTATCAAGAACAAGATCTTTTCGCATTGAACCCAAGACTCAAAGGATCTTTCGGGCTTCTGATCTTGTGAAGGGTGATCTGCTCGGTCAGGGATTTTTCGGCCAAGTGTTTAGGGTAACTCATCGTGACACTGGAGAAGTTATGGTTCTAAAAGAATTGTATCGTGTCGATGAAGAAGCTCAAAAAAACTTCTTAAAAGAGGTATGAACATTTTCTATTCAAAACTTTAGTACAGGGATTTATCGTCAATTTATCTACTTCCAGGTCGCTGTACTTAGGAGTTTACATCATAACAACGTACTAAGTTTTATCGGTGTTCTGTACAAAGAAAAAAAATTACATTTAGTTACTGAATATATAAGCGGGGGAACATTGAAAGAGCTGATCCATGACATGTCAGAAGTGCTACCATGGAAGCAACGAGCTAATTTTGCAAAAGACATTGCTTCAGGAATGACTTATCTACATTCCATGAATATAATCCACAGAGATCTCAATTCTCACAATTGTCTAGTCAGAGAGGTTTGTTTAGATGACTTTGATTATATAGAATAGGCCTAAAATAACATTGTACAATACTTTTATTGTGCAATAATATTGAACATTAGGCAAACCCTAGACCAAAAGAACAATAATTGCCCAATACTATTATCTTGATCCCAATTTATACTGATGCTAGACATAAACTAAAAAATATTGCACAATATTAACCATACACAGTGCAATAAAAATTAAACTCATTCAACTTTTGTTCAGTCATTAAGCAAAGGTCAATACAACCCTAAATGTTCAAAATTATTGCACAATATAATTGATCGCCTAGATCCTCGCCTTAAGTGGCCCATAGACAGTCCATATTATTGTACAATATAGATTGCACAATAATTTGATGGTTGCCCCTTAACATTCAATAATATTGTACAAAATTTTGTTTGTGCAATGAACTTGAATAGTTTGAAGGCGATATTGAAGTTTGTGCAATATTTTCCACTTGTTGATACTTCACAAACTGACAGATATTGCGCAATAATGCCAACAGACGGTGCAATATTTTCCAGGTTGTACAATATATTTTCAACTTTTTGTCAATCATGCAATGTATTGCACAAACTTTCAATATCGTCTACACACGATCAATTAAATTGCACAAGCCAAAATATTGTGCAATAATATTGATCGTCTATGGGCCGCTTTAGTTTATCCCTTCATTTTAAAAGTTTAACCTTGAAAGATCCTTCTATGCTTGATGTATTTATATTTGATTTATCCAGGATAAGTCAGTTGTTGTAGCTGATTTTGGCCTTGCAAGGATTGTGTCTCAGAATGGAACGGACAAAAACACTACAAGAATGGCAGGTGGCCGCAGATATAATAAAACAAGATTGTCTAATTCTCGATGTCAAAGGAAAAAAAGGTACACGGTGGTGGGCAATCCATACTGGATGGCTCCTGAAATGATGAAAGGCAATAAATACGATGAAAAAGTTGATGTCTTTTCTTTTGGGATTGTGCTGTGTGAGGTATTGTATATTAAATATAATAACTAAAGCTCGGAATTCCTTGCAATAAAAATGAGAAAACTTTCAATAAATAGCGTGAACATTTTATTTTTATATATATTTTTGTTTAAAATTACATTTTAAAAAAATTGGGGTCCACTGTAGCCGAGTGGTAGTATTCTGTAGTAGACAACCTGAGGTACAAATGAGAACCTATAGCATTTTAGGATATCATCTTAGGGTCCATAGAAAAGCGGAGAGTCAGTAAACAGATTGAAAAATATGCGTGAACGACCAGAAAAATTAGTAAAAGCACTAAGGACCGGTAATGAACTCAGCAATTTGTCGGCCCCTTAACTTCCCATATTTTTATTATTAATATCTAGGAAGAATATTTTTTGATGGGGACCGCGGTAGCCGAGTGGTTAGCATGAGAGACTCTCACGCCGCGGTCGTGGGTTCGATTCCCACCGTCGCCTCTGGCCCTTTTTTCACAATAACCCCCCCAAATTTGAACACACATATATGAATTGTCACATGGCTAATATGCATAATTCATAACGCCAAAAAAAAAAAAAAAAAATTTTGATATAGTGAAGCCAGTTGTAGGATTGAGGTAGCTGAGTGGTTAGTGCGTAGACTCTCAGCTCATAGACGCCGTGGTCATGGGCTTGATTCCCACTGTCACCCTTTTTTCATAATACTCTTCTCTAAAAAAATATGCATATGCGTATATGTGTACACAAGTCTCCTTGGGTAATATACATAGTTCAGACCATAAAAAAAAGTGTCAATTTAGATAATTTCATTGCCATTGTAGATGATTGTATCCCAGAATTTTTTTATTTCCTCTGGCTAATATTGAAAGATAAGGCCATTTAATAGAAAAAAAAGTGTTGCTGTAGAATAAAGCAACTTCCAGCCAAGTTCCTCAGTGTGTGATTAATGTTTCGGTAGGAAGTTGATTGTTCATAACGACTTTGTACTGATAAACCCAATGAGGTGCTTTAATATTTTGTTTTTCTGCCTTTACTGATCAGTATATTGATGAGGGAATATTTCTCAAATTTCTTCAGTAATTCTATTCAGTCCATGAACCACGCAATTGATGTGGAACATTTTCTGATAGAATACTTTAAATGTCGCTCTGCTTTTGTCATATAGGGAGCAGCATACATTATTAAAACTAAAATTCTCTCTTGAAAGGTCGCATCCGGGAAAATGTTTGTTCAACTGTCATTCACAAAACAAGATAAGTTTTTATGATTTGTTTTATAAAGAATTATGCACAAAATCATGTAAGGAGTTGGCATTGTTCTAGGATCAACATGCAGACTGGCAAGGAGGAATTAACTTATTAGTAACTAATCCTAACTTATTCTTGTTTTGGTTTTTCTACAAAATACAGAAATTCAATTTTATTCAACAAAACCCCAAAACATGCAATTTTGTGCAATATAAAACTTGACTAAAACACACCATCTGACTGAATAAGAATAAATAAAGGTCTTGCGACGTTCAGACTAGCATAAAAGAAAGATGCAAGTGCACGGGAATCTGAGCTATAATGATAACAAACCATCATTTTACAGGTATTTTACTTGCCCTGTTTTGTTTACAGATAATAGGTCGAGTTTACGCTGATCCTGATTATCTACCCCGATCTCCTGATTTTGGGCTAAACCAAGCGGTTTTTAGGGATAAATTTTGCAACTCTTGCCCAGAACCATTCTGCAGGATTGCTTTTTTATGTTGTGATTTAAATCCTGACAAAAGGTAATAAAAAAATAAAAAAATGAAAAAATAAATAAAAACATTATTGTTTCTTAATTGATGGTGTACAATTGATACTGGTTTTGTAGGCCACCATTTGAACTAATGGAAACTTGGTTAGAGAGTATATCTTTACACCTTGGTGCTGGTGTTCCTATACCATCTGATATTGAAGTCGATATCTTTGATTATTCAGGTAGCTATTAAAGTTATGAGTAATATCTTTTAAAATATATTTAATCCAAACAATTATAGAAAACAAATAATATTGTATGAGTGAATGAATGAGAGTGAGTAAGAGTGAATGAGTGAGGGAGAGTGAGTGAGTAGACATCGTCATACTAATTGTCATACATCATTGAATGTGAAGCAATGGCTCAATGGAGACAAAATCTAGGATATAAAAAACCCAGGTAAAATTGAACTGAATTTTTAGCAGTGACAGTCAATGGCCTAATACCTCTGAGAAGAAGGATTGTGTCAATTTGTAGGGGACTAGGAAGGTACAGTAAGCCAGAACCCTGCTTCCTATTATCCATCATCATATCAAGATAGTGAGTTAAGAGAGTGAATGAGAGAAATAGAGTATAAGAGAGTGAGCGAACGAGTGAGAGTAAGAGAGTGAGCGAATGAGTGAGAGTAAGAGAGTGAGTGAACGAGCGAGAATATGGGGGTGAGTGAACGAGTGAGAGTAAGAGAGTGAGCGAATGAGTGAGACTAAGAGAGTGAGCGAATGAGTGGGAGTAAGAGAGTGAGTGAACGAGTGAGAGTAAGAGAGTGAGCGAATGAGTGAGAGTAAGAGAGTGAGGGAACGAGTGAGAGTAAGAGAGTGAGCTAATGAGTGAGAGTAAGAGAGTATGCAAATGAGCGAGAGTAAGACAGCGAGTGAACGAGTAAGAGTAAGAGAGTGAGTGAATGAGCGAGAATATGGGAGTGAGTGAACGAGTGAGAGTAAGAGAGTGAGCAAATGAGTGAGAGTAAGAGAGTGTGCAAATGAGCGAGAGTAAGAGAGTGTGCAAATGAGCGAGAGTAAGAGAGTGAGCGAATGAGTGAGAGTAAGAGAGTGAGCGAATGAGTGAGAGTAAGAGAGTAAGCAAATGAATGAGGGTAAGAGAGTAAGCAAATGAGTAAGGGTAAGAGAGTGAGCGAATGAGTGAGAGTAAGAGAGAAAGCGAATGAGTGAGAGTAAGCAAATGAATGAGGGTAAGAGAGTAAGCAAATGAGTAAGGGTAAGAGAGTGATCAAATGAGTGAGAGTAAGAGAGTGAGCAAATGAGTCAGAGTGAGAGAGTGAGCGAATGAGTGAGAGTAAGAGAGTGAGGCTGAAATGCAAACGTTAGTAGTTAAGTCTATGTGAATCAGTTTTGTTTTATTTTCTGTTTGTAGGCAGAAGTAATAGTTCATCAGAATCAACAACTCCAGAAGTTTTAACTCCAGAGGTGCACCGATCCGTTTGCAAAGGCAATCGAGATTTATTGCTCCCAATTCACGAGAGGGCTAGCACTTCTCCCAATATCGAGACCACTGCTTTGTGATGATATAATTTTTATTTAATTATCGCAATCTTACCATATGCTATGATTTATGAACAACTGTAAATCTCTTTGGGACTAAAAAAAAGTTACCAACAATCATTAAAATGTGCAATTTTAAAATTTAATTTGCCTTCTGAGCATAAGTGTTCTGTAAAAATAATAAAATAAGAAAAAAACAAGTTTTAGGACTTAAATAGATAGTACATTATTTAGTGCTTTCTTTATATCACTTTACAGCTTTCATTAGTAATTAAGCTAGTGAATTTCATTTTATGTCACAAATTATATTTTTCTTAGAAATGTAGTAGAAAATAAAATTGGTAAAAATATTCCTAATAAGATGAAAACATCTCAAATCACAGCTAAATTAATCACCGATGAACCGATCAATATTTATATTTATGGATAGTGATTGCCTGATAGTTATTGCAAAAGAACACAAAAAATGTAATTGTTTAATATGTTGATGCATAACCACCAGATGGTTAAACACGTAAACTGTTACATAAAAAATATATTTGTTTCAACAAAAAATTTTTTTTGAATTAATCTTATTTAAATTAATTTTATTATATACATGATTAATCATAAATTTATATATAAATAAATTTCTTTTTCTCATTTTATCGGTTCACAGATGATGCATTTATGTGAGTGATAAAGTATTATTATTATTTATGTAATTGACAGAATTGCACCAAAATTGATGGTGTAAACTACAAATAAATTAAAAGTCTGCAAGTTTGTATAAATTTAGATATTACTAGTTAAAGGAGTGCCTGCACATGCAAAAGTTTGCTTGAATTGAAATGTAATTTTTGAAAAACTACAAAATTGTGACATATTGAATCTCAGTGATAATAGGTGATAAATTATTCCTTTTCAGGTCTTGATTTCTTTTTGCTTTTGCATGTTAAAAATCAATTTTAAGATTGATTTGCTAAGACTGAATTAGATTTGAAAGATGAGATTACATTTTAATTCCATTGTTAACCGTAACTACGTGTATGTTGATACATCACACTGATATTCTGTGGTTTGTAGTTATCATTCCTTTACTTTTATCTTTTGACTCACAAGAAAAGTAAAAATTTTATTACTTTAAAATGGGATAGCACTAAACATTTAGTAACACTTGAAAAGCACAAATTTTCATTTCCATACAAAATTTTAACAGTATTCAATTTTTTTATGTACAAATCAATTATTTTTTAAATTATTTATTTTTTATAAGAATTGAATTGTTAATTATATTAAGAAAATGTGATATTGTATACCCAGTCCCGATTTTTGTAAATTTTATTATAAAGAAACAATACTTACATTGATATCACAATTTTGTACATTCATAATGTTTTTATTAATTTTGTATGTATGTAAATGAATAAATGTTAGTTACCATTAAAAAGCATTAAAGTTAATTTTATTCTATTTTTTAAACATTACATCGATCTCAGAATGATAGAAATTATTTCTTAAAATTTACTAAACGATGAATGTAAAAACTGAAATTCTATTAACGATCGTTTGCCAGTATACTGTTATTTATTTTTCCTAAATATTAATTTTAATTGTTCAAACCTCGTGATAAATACGAACTGTTGAAAAGATTAATGGATTTTTCTATTCTATTTTATTCATTTATGAATAATTTATAAAGTTAAAAAAAAAATAATAACAAAGGCGTGCAACTTTCATTTTGCAGTTAATTAAATGCATCCTGTTTTTGTAATTTGAAGAGCAAAGATTTTCTTCTAATCGTCGATAATGGTCTGGATAAGCATCCTTCTCTTCACACCAATTACGTAATAAAAAAAGTGTAGGGTCTAAATAAGATGACTCCCGTATCATAAGAGTGATCATTCACGAAGTAAGCCCAGGGGGCCATTATTCGACCTATGTTGGTTTTGCTTCCAACACCTATAATTACGAACAATTTGACTTTCACACGAAGCAAACTCGTTCCCAAACACGTATAAAGACCTTTGAAAAACATAGAATTCTTTGATTAAATTTTCTGTAGGATAATCAGGATAACACGCTCTCTCGCGACTCTCCGGTCTCTATTTTACGTTTGGGTTTTTATCTAAGTAAGCTGTTTTATTTGGTATCTGAGAAGTTGTACAAAAGGTCTGCCCTATTTTGAAATTGTGATATATTCTCCTACGAATTTCGCTGATCAAAATTTTGTCGATTTAAAACCATTCTTACTTGATATCATTTCAGCCCTTGTTTTTCAATTCGATAATTTCTGTGATTAAAACAACTATCCGTAAGATCTTTTTTATTTTAATAATGATTTACTTTGGACAATACAATTCTGAATCAAAATGAGGAAAAAATCTATAGTTTAAAAAAAACCTTGTCACGAAACGAAATTTCATGAAGCATAGAAATTCAGCGTGATACCATCGTCAATTCAATTGTCAAGTGGAAACTTGCAAAACTTTCCCAAATCCTCGACAGTTGGGTAGATACATTCATTCATTCCTACGCATATTCCGCCTTGGGAACTGAACAATTACAGTGCATTGTTTACTATGGCTTTCTTACAATTGCCCTCACGTGCCGACGAAAAACTGTGTTTCCTAGTCTGCTCTAATGGCCGTGAAATAAATTAAACAGACCGAACGAATGGTATAGATTAGAAAAACTGTTGGTTATTCGATTTAAAGAAGCAACAACACTTGTTTTGAACTATGTAGAGCGATTTGTTAAAACCGACCATCCTGATGTGCTGGATGCCAATTCGCGTCTTCGGTGTGCTTTTCTTATTCTTCACATAACTGAAGATGGCGAAATGCTAAAACCCGTCTGACAGAGCAACACAGCGATGATCGGTTACGACCAGACTCACGGGGATTAATCAACCCCACAGACCGCACAGAGAAATCGCACGATTTGTTACATTGTACTACAAATTTAATGAAAATTTCTTGTCGCTTGATAAAATAAATATCTGATACGAAACAATGAGTCTACGGCAAGTATTTCGCTCATTTTTCTTTCTNAAAAAAAAAAAAAAAAAAAATTCAACTCCTGTGTGGGGCTGTATCTAGTTTGAGTTTTGGTGTGCATCTGAATGTACGCGGTATCTCCCAGATAAGAATAAATAAATATATTAATATAGAAATAAATAACCAAATGTATCATTCAATGAGTTTATAATCCAGCCGAAAAACGGTGTGATTTATTTTCGCTTATCCTATTTTTTATGCGATACCACTGGTACCAGCTGTTTATCAACAATATTATTATTATTATTATTTTTGTCGGCTATCAACCTTAGTGCTTATTTCAGGCCGAATACAGCAGTATTAAAACGACTCTTTTCGGATTCTCTTCATCTTCAGTGTTGGCTCTGAACAAAGACTGGTACACAAAGAATAAAATTTCGCCCTATTTGCCACGGCAACATCTGTAAAGTTGATTTCAGAGAAGTGAGATTTCAATGAATTTGTTGACCGATCATTTTGGTCTGACAGAATTTTGAATGAATTTTAAATTAGAGGCTGATATTAATTGTATCGTAGGTAATTCATTTTGACTAAAAGCCTTTTACGAATAGGGATAAATGTGGTATGCTTTTTAACTTTTTTTTGTGACTGTTTGAACACAGTCTGGACAGCCGTACTGAAGAAAGCGTACAGCAGACAAACCATTGACGAGAGGCAGACCAAAGATCAGTAACGACCAATTTTCAAATTTGTCGAAGGATCGTTTGAAGAGTCTAGTTCAACTTGGTGTCACTGTTTTCCATAAATATGGCGTTATTGCAATCTGGATGAAGTTTTAAAGCTGACAGTGTATACAACAATTAATACAACTGAATACAACAATCATTTTATTCGTTGATGAAAATGTGCAAAATTTTATGAAAGCGATTATCTTGGATTGTAAATTTAAATGTTGAGGCAATATTTAAAAAAAAGCTCTAAGGGAAACAAGAAAAAAGCCATTGAAATATACTGCAGTCTCTTACCACTTTTGGCGTTGTAAATCATCATTTTGAATTGTTCCACGGATAATTCTCCAGGTTATTAGTTGATCCTTAGGTAATAGCTATTGTGAGACCACCGATCCCTGAACTAGTTAATTTTGTGGATCACCTTTGGCGAGCATTAACACGAGCGACATTCTAACGGATCATTTACTCCTTAATTAGAGGTCGTAGATCAGTTTATTGTAACAAACAGCCAGTTTGAAGTCAATTAAGGTTGTCAATAATAATAGAATGATGAGGTAGCTGAAAGCAATGGTTCTCTTAATCATCAGTTTTGACCATGTTTGCTCTCCATGTGGTGTAATAGCTACCTTGTAGCTTGTACTCACCCCTATGCTTTTTTGACATCTGGTCTAGCAAGTGAAAACTGGATGTAAAAAAAATTGTCCGAATAAACCAATCTGTTGTTTTCGAACAAATACACTCGATTTAGTAAGTTGAATAGAAATGTTATAAAAACTATTAACTACTCAAAGCAAAGCTGTCCGCATTGGTATTTTTCTTCAAAGAAAGTCTTTCCACCTGTGTTATTCAGTTTCGTTTATTGTTTGTCCTGGTCATTTCTCGCTGTGCTTCGGACCTGGGTGGCAATTTATTGCCTTTCACCATCTTCGGTGGTCGAGAGCCTGGGATCTGTGGGAAGTTCAGCATTCATTGTGTGACAGTTGCAGTAAATTGTAAATTATTGAAACTAAGCTGGAATTTCACGAGAAAAGTAAAAAATAAACTTAAAGGATATAGAGAGCGAGATAAATAGATATATAGTGAGAGGAGGAGAGAGTAAGTGGGTGAGTGAATGAGAGATAGTGAGAGAGAGAGAGTGTGTAAGTGAGTGAGAGGCTGAGTGAGTGTCTGGAACGTGTCGAACATTGGGGCTTCATTTTGCGACAGTTGCAGTTAATTGGAAATTATTTAAACTAATTGGAAGCTGGAAATCCATGATTAAGTTAAAACAAAACATAATATTTGGAGAATTTTTTTGTTTTAATTTAGTTGAGTTGATGACCGTTCAAATTTAAGTTGTGAGGATGGGACATTCCGTCAGGTTTTTCGGTAGTAAGGATAAAGATTATTCCATCAATGCCAACGTTTAATTATAATTAAAAGTAAAAAATAAACTTAAAGGATATAGAGAGCGAGATAGATAGATATATAGTGAGAGGAGGAGAGAGTAAGTGGGTGAGTGAATGAGAGATAGTGAGAGAGAGTGAGATTGAAAGTAAGTGAGAGAGTGAGTGTCTGGAACTTGTCGGACATTGGGGCTTCATTTTGCGACAGTTGCATTTAATTGGAAATTATTTAAACTAATTGTAAGGTGGAAACCCAGGAGTAAGTTAAAGCAAAACAAATATTTGGAGAATTTCTTTGTTTTAATTTAGTTGAGCTGATGACCGTTCAAATTTAAGTTGTGAGGATGGGACGTTCGGTCAGGTTTTTCGGTAGTAAGGATGAAGATTATTCCATCAATGCCAACGTTTCTATATTACAAATCATTTTCAGGGCTGCTGATACATACATGGTTACATTTTACATCAAAATTTTTTTTTTGACAAAAGCTGTGTTTATGGAATAGAAAAGGGGCCGTTGTTAGCGGAACGCTTAAGGCATTGAGAGGGCGATTGATCACTTTAAGGTTACTGGGTTCGAATCCAACATACAGACAAATGGGGAAATACTGAAATATTTCTAAAAGACGAAACCAGCAAGAATCGGCACAATTGATAAGGGATGATCCGATCACATTGACTTTACTTAAAAGCTTAAATATTCATGTCCAGTTGTTCAAAGAGTACAATTCATGTTTAATGTTTTAGCATAAATGTTTATTAACTTCTTTTGTTTTAACTAAAATGTGCGCTTCCTATATTTGCTTTTCAAGTTAAACCCAGTTGCAAAAAAGACTAAATCAAACCCTGCTCTGAATAGGGAATGTGTCAGTGAGTCATTTTCGCCTTGCAGGCTGCCAAGTGGCCATCCACACTGTCATGATGTGGGCAGGTCTTCGGGATATTAAAAAAAGCTGAAAGCCTGCAATTTTCTCGTTCCTGAAAATGATTCCGTGTAAAGATAAAAGTGCAATTTCTGTTTCACGAAGGTGAATATGTTATTACCACACCTTGGCACGTCTCGAGAGTAACGATTTGGTGACGTTACAGATTATGAATGAGAAGCTATTTTCAAATTGTCAATAACTCGTGTTGGCCCGTTGATATATGGTTGTAAACTTGGCCATGGTGGGTGGCTGACGGTCAGAGGGGATTGTTGTGTGGCCTGGCGCCTCGATTCCACTACGCTCTCTGTATAATTTACTCATCTATAACTCCCATCTACTGTAGTTATGCGTTTATTTTGGCCACCTACTACTCCCCGTATTAAAAACATCCTCTTT